GACAACCGTCTTTGAGCCCTGATATTAACCCTACTGAGCACCTTTGGCATTAATTTGAATGTGCATTGCAGAGGAGAACCAATTCCCAAATAATCTGGACCAATTGCGCCACGCTCTTTAGGATGAATGGGACAATATCCCTCATAACAGAATTGTTACCCGTGTTGAAGGCTTGTCGCGCCGTCTACAGGAGATAATTGCAGTAAGCGGTAGACGCTCACGCTGTTCTGCACGTGACCTTTAAGGAGCACATCCTAATGCTAATTTTGTGTGAATTTGGTGACATTTGATGGCCTCTTTTCAATTTAATAGATATTTCTTTACATCTGTAGAAGTCACAATGAAACAGTGCATTTGAGGGGGCACCTCATATAAATTTTACTTAATGGTATAAAATGTGTATATTTTCACCACTGTTTTGAATTTTTTAACCATTAATCATGTTAGACACGGTATCTGTAATAAAAAGCCTATTTCTAACAATTTACAGCTGTGAAATGATCATTTGTAAATAAACGTACATGCATGGAAATGAGGGTGGGACAACCTTTTTGACCAATGTAGTAGGTGTTATCATAATGTAGAATTGGCGCGCTGCGTGAAAACAAGAATATTGAAAAATGAAATGTTGGGACAGAAGACTTGCTCTGCTGGTATTGTACATTATTGTGTAGAAATGGCGCCTTTGTAGGGAATGGTATTTCCCTAGGAACCGTAGTCCGTTCCCTATTACTTTGTGCAGGTGACATTCGTCCCATGTAATAACCCCAATACTACGATTAACCCTAATTACTCTAGATCTTGTATGTGAATTCGGACTTCGATTCATAAACCTACCATTCTTGTTAAATTGACTCTCCTCCCCTTTGTGTTGGTAATGTGAATGCACGTGTAACATGTTGTTTCCAGACAGAATTTTTCCATACTGGCTTCACACTTTTATCTAGACAACTTCCAGGATCGTAGATTGTACGATGACACATGCAATGTACATGTAAGCATAATGTAAAAAAAAAAAAAAACGGTCCTTAGAAATTTACCCGTAATCCTGGTGCCATAAAAACGCACCTCCTGTTAACGGTTCTTTCATAATGACTTTGGCGTGATATTGATATACCTCTCCATCTAAAAGCTGGAATCAAATTTTGGAAATTTGTTTTACAATATTCAAATATATATACGCTAAAAATGCGAGACATTTTTCCACTTAGTGTGGTAAGTGAAGACTGAAGCCAATTAAAATAACATTGATTAAATAACACATTTTGAACCAAAAATGTCAAGAATTAGCCGTAGGCCCTACTATGAAGGTAAACAATTCGTGTTGTCAAATTATGATTTTACAGTCGAGGAAAAATGAATGACAGTCGACAAATGCTCTAAGACCAATGAACCTACCTTCTCCATGGTACCGGCAGCTTTCTCACTCTTCACTATCATCCCGGTAATGTCATCAGCAGGGTGACCCCAGCTGGCCAATTTGATCTGATATCCTTCCCCATCGTCCCTGGTATAGTAATTCTCCTCCAGGGTCTTGTCTTGCTCCAGGGCCTTTCTCAAGTTAGTCACCTCTTCGGTGTCCAAAAACTTCCTGAACGCAAAGACATTAGAGGGTTGGAAAAAGGTTCAAGTGATGCCTGAATTCAATGTCTTCCAAGATCAGAGGCAAATTTTTATGTGTCTTTTTTTCCGTGACTGGCAAAAAATTGGTCGATGCATACAATATCATGTTTGGTACGTGATAACCCATCTGTCCTTATTGAATTTTCTCAGACTTTACATTACCGGATATATATATATATATGTGTGTGTGTGTGTGTGTGTGTGTGTGTGTGTGTGTGTAAGATCACATTCTGTATTTATCAAATTATAACACTTAGTGCGTATGTGTGTTAATAAACTCGGTTTAAATTAGATAAAATTAGTTTTAAATATCGAGTGTTCGATGCGAATGTTCACTAGCATAAAAGGTCTGCAGGGGAAGTTGCTGGTATTGGATAGTTATTTCAACTTTCATTTAGGAAACTTGTTAATCATGCAAACAAGAGGGTAAAGTTTCTAAACTGTTTACTGCCTAACCGCAATATAATGAAACCACTTCTGTCAAACTGCTCTTTCACTTCGTCAGTAACGTCAAAGTTATCTGTATACTGATAGCCTAAAATTTCGAATGCATGCATCTTAGTAAGACACATTTACTGGATTGTACACTTACGGGACCGTTCACATGGAAAGGCTATTTTCTAAAAATCTATTTTCTATTTGCGGTATCTTGTGATCACGGTCTGTGCCCTGAATATCCCGCGGCGTAATTACTGGCAGCGCGAGCCAGTTACTTCCGTGATCACAAGATACCGCGAATGTGAATCTGGGCGTATTAAGGACGAGGTCCACCTCCTACTTAACTGTCATTTTTAACTGATAAAGGTGTTGAATTTTTTAGAAATTGCTAGACGTTTTAACAATTTTGATCTTTTAAATGATCAGAACAACTTTTTATTTATGATTAGTAAGGATAACATGGGAAATTTAGTTGCCAAGAGTTGTTGCTGATTTAAGAATTAAGGAGAGATTTTATCTATAAATAAATAACTGCTCTAACGTATATTTCAAGGGATATTCAGTCCCTCGCCGTTCTATATAGAACTGCCATATTTTACTGCTTCTAATTTTGTTTTTCCTTTTATATGGGTGAGACTAAAAAGAAATATCGTTAATCTTTATACTGACAGATCATTATCACTTAAAAACACAATTTACCTGTCCCGTCAGTCGTCCTTACGGATTCTCCCATCTTGTTACTCGTGTACTACTGCAAGCAAATGTGTGCAAGTTTACCCCGTTTCTTTGTATTTAATGACTTGGCTACAAACTGACATAGTTGAAGGTTACGGATGGAGATCAAGCTGTTGTGGTAGTGTTTTTATCATGTTGTTTACGATATATTTTCAATTGACATTAACTTGATTTTCATTTTACCCGGGCCCTCAGTTTCCTGACATCGGTGTCATCGTAATGTAAAAAGAGTGCATTGAATGAATACAATAAGATTTTTAAAAAATAAATGTTGCAAAACAGACAACTAAATCTGCTGGTATTTTATATCAATGTGTAAAAACGGCACCTTTACAGTGTGACAAGCCAAATAAGACATTTCAAATTATGTTTTTACAATTGACGATCAATCATAATCAACTCTAACAGACTGACATGATGTCTAGACATAGGTGTGGGACTGACTGTAAGGTCCCTACTATATTTTAACTTTGTCACTTTTTATAATGGTTTGACAACGAACTACATTGAAGTCTTTGGGTTTCAGTAAAAGCTCATGCATTATATTTAAAAAATGTTTTACATATAGTGCTTTGAGCAAATTTAATGGATTATTTTAACATATCACTCTACTGCCTGGAACCTTCTATGGCAGCATTTTTTTCTGAAAAAGAAATAGTACAGTTACTCTAATACAAGCTATAAAAAAGGAAAGATTTAAGACAATGAAAACAGATATACTGGCCTGTTTAATATTAAGCAAACACATACAACAAGACCTGCTATGATTAAAATGTAAATAGAAATTTCATCAATACTAAATATGTATTAAATCCTTTTAAACAATTATAAAGTAGTGTGACACAAAATTTACAAACTTACTGTATAGGGAGAACATGATCAATGACCATGAAGGAGGGGTTATCTTCCTTTAAAATAACAGTAACAAATACACATTTCATCTCTCAATTTTAAAGATGTCAGTCACCATCTTAATATCTACTAACTTAATATCTTTCATATTTAATGAATTAAAAGTAAAGGTACTAAGTCCTCTGCCATCAAAATGAACTCTATTTTTCGTCATTAAATGTCCCACTCTTGGGTCTAAAAGTCCTGGGGCGTCTCCCCCCTCTGTGAACCCCCACTAGCTGTTCCCACAATAAACTAAACATTGAATTTTAACTCCCTTGGTAATTCTGAGTAAGTTGTCTAATCAAATGAAAGAAAAGTCAGTTTTGTACGTCAACAGAGGATATTCCAGTTGCCCAATTTACGCACATGTAATACCAGAAAAGGCTTTGAAAGAAGAGGGGAAAAACACATTTCTTCACACACAATCAATTCGTGTATTTATTGCTCTTATACTGATATTGCAAGAAATAAACATATAGTACGTACAACGTAACTTGCTATAGTGCATAAGCAATAGACATTCACCCAAATGAAGCTTAAATTAGAAGCAAAATATTAAATGGAATTTAAAGTATTAAAATATATTGATTGAAAACATTAAAGGAAAAGAACATAAAACCACAAGGGCTACAGCTATAGTGTATTCCTCGCCAATCATACAATGATTGTAACAGAAAATTAATGTGGTGCTCTGCTAAAATACTATATATATGTGTAAAGAATTGCATGTTACTCTCTGGTCATAGGGTGCGCTAGTTGTGTGTTGCAAAATAATTGTATTGCTGGGACTGTAATTTTGTATTTTAATTTAGAAGGCCGGTGTGAAGGGAATGGATGTCCGCCGTAATGCATGTCCGTAGAACATGTATTCCTAGGTCCTGGGAATGCATGTCCAGGGTCTTCCATTTCTAGGAACGCATGTCCTAGGACATAATTTCCTGGGATTTAAAGTCCAGTGGACATCCATTACTTAGTATTCCAAGTCCTGCAGACAGGTATCGATGTCCTAGTCGGACATATTTTCCCAGCTAGACTAGTAACAGATATCTTCTGACATTTTCATATGGATGAGGTGTTAATTTTAGAACACTTAAACGAGATGTTTAAGAATGTTATTACGTTTCTTATAATTATTTGTATACATGTTCCCCAATACATCCTTTATTCGGCTAATTTAAGATACTTTAAATAAACGAAAAAATGACTACAAATTAATATTAGATTTAGGAATATAGGCTATATATATATATATAATTTCCGATTATGTCCGACAGGAACACGTCCTAGCTGCGTATTAATACAGCTGGGAATCAAGGTCCGGGTAGGACAGCACATCCGAGGGAACGCACGTCCATAGGACATATTTCCCCAGGAACGGAGGTTCTCCGGACATCCGTTCCGGTGGGACATGCATTCCTTTCACACCGGGATATTGGAGGGTCCTTGAAAAAATTCTTTCCTTCGTAGGATGTTTTAGTGTCACATCCCTTTATTCTGCTATTCGGCACCTTGAAATAAGAAAGGAACGATATGTTATTATAAAATAAAGCGGCACGTCAATCGCTAATATTTCATAAATAGACCCCTTGCATGTCACGTCATTTTTTTTTTTTTTTTTGAAAGAAATAGTAGTTTAGTGGAGTGAAAATGCCTACAGAAATAAATGGAGAAAGGGCCTTCCATATTTTGCCAATGTGATGACTACTGGCTTATTTGAAATCGACCAAATATTTCGTTATTGTCAAGGGCAAAGAAGGGCAGGCAATAAAATTAATCCATAAAGGTAATGCAATATACAAAACAATATAAAGGTCACATGAATGTTAAAGAGGTGATAGTACTAGTAAAATGGACGTCAAGGGTCTATTCGGCTAAGTTCCATTTGAAATGTGGTGTATTATGCAAATTTAACAAACAAATATAAAAATGATAAAAATATTATGTATTTATGAATGTAATTATGAAAATAATGGACTGTATTATGCCTACCTTAATCAGGGGCGTGTAGTTGGGATAGTGATGTTTATACACTGGGTCATTGGATGCACGGTTATAGCAAACAAGGTAAGCCCAGCGCCGGTTCTGGCTGTGATTCTGGTCACTTCGATGGACTAGATTACAATGAAATATCACAGCGTCTCCAGGGTCAAGCTGGACGTAGGTCAAGGGGCAGGTTTTGGCAAGGAGTTCTACGCGTTCCTGGTCAGCCCTTGCTTGTTCACCGACTTTCACGTGCTCCAGTCGCCCAGCTTGATGGGAGCCAAGTAGTATCTGCACGTATATAAAGGATGTGGTGATAAAATATAGTCTCTTTGGTCTAATTTATACAGTGGCGGACATGTAGAAATAGGTTTGAAAGGTACTTGTCTTTGCGGGTATGAAGTTAGCGGATGTCACCTTGCACATTCTTTATAGGAAAAAAAACTAGAAAAGCTGGTGGTGTCACCAAAATATGAACGGGAAATGAATATGCAATATAAATGTTGTTACTTTACACCATTGTTCTAAATTTTTACCAAAAGTAGGAGTAACCAGTGCTTCCTTTACGGGCTGCAGAGACATCAATATTTCATGCTTTTGAATCATTCTTTGTATAGAATTGAACATTGGCATCAGCATTCATCTTGATGGATTCTGTGAATATTAATGATTGCTACATGTACATACAAGTCGTGTTTCATTACCTGTAGACACCCATTTGTTCTGTCTGCTCTGTCCACAGCAATCCACACTGTGCCCATGTTAGGAAACAGATTGCCGTAATGGTACCAAACACTGGAAATAGCAATTAGCAGGGCGGGCAGTAAATAACCACCAATATCAAGAAAATATGAGAATATATTCTTGATATCGTGATTAGAAACTCATCTAACAACAAATGCCTTTTCTAAATTTTGTTATGACATCATATTGACTAAATGGAACTGTTTTTAACTGAAACCTAAAATGTAGACTCAACAGCTTGTGCATAAACATCATGGTGCTAATGCTAAAATCAATGATCAAAATGCATAACCAGAGAGAACTAGCTTGCAGTCTCATCTTTTTTTCTTTGAAAAACGTACGCAGCCTCCTCTTTGGAATGGTAATGCGAATGCGAGTGATGCAGTACGTAAAGGTCGTTACCAAACAGCTTTATTCTAAACTGGCTGCACGCTATTCAAATTTTTACCTTGGCAGCTTACAGGTTTGTACAATGTGCGATGACACATGGTATATCAAAACAGTATCAAAATAATGACAAAAAGGGGCCAGTAAAATTTTACCCGTAATCCTGGTGCCACACAAATGCACCCCCTGTGAACGGTTCTTTCATGACGACTTTGGCGTGATATTGATACACCTCTCCCCCTAAAAGCTGGAATCAAAGTTTGGATTTTTTAAAATTTGTTTGCTTACTGAAGATACAAAATTTAATTTATAGGCTTAAAATGGACGCCAAATTTCCACAGAGACAGATAATCTCAGTATCTTAACTGAATACTGAAGCCTGGCAGTCTAAATAAGATTAATAGAATAACTCATTTTGTGATTTTCCCTTCAAAAAATGTAGAGAATAAGGCCTAGTATTAGGTCAAACAATTTGTGCAGTGAAATCGTGATTTTACATTCGAGGAAAAATGAACGACAGTCGATAAAGACTATGAGGCCTACATGTACTGTAGCTACCTTTTCCATGGTACCGGCAGCTTTATCACTCCTCCCTATCATCCCGGTTATGTCATCCACAGGGTGATTCCAGTTTGCCATTTTGGCCTGATTTCCCTCCCCGTCGTCCCTGGTATAGTAATTGTCCTCCAGGGTCTTGTCTTGCTCCAGGGCTGTTCTCAAGTTAGTCACCTCTTCGGTGTCCAAAAAATTCCTGAACGCAAAGACATTAGAGGGTTGGAAAAAGGTTCAAGTGCTGCCTGAATGTCAGTGTCTTCCAAGATCAGATGCAAATGACTCGTTTTCTTTTTCCGTGATTGGTAAAAATCTCGGCGATTACGCCATCGGTCAATGCATACAATAACATGTTTGGTGATGCTATCATCTGTCCTCGTTGAGTTTCATCAGACTTAGCATTACTGGATATACTAGTATATGTAAGACCATATTTTATATTTATCAAATATTCGATGCAAATATTTACCAGCATAAAAGGTCTGTAGGGGGTGCTGATATTGACTAGTTATTTCAACTTTCATATATAAAAACTTATTTTTGCAAACAAGAGGGTAAAGTTTCGAAACAGTTTTCAGCCTTACCGCAATATAATGAAACCATCCCTGTCATACTGCTCTTTCACTTCGTCAGTAACGTCAAAGTTATCTGTATACTGATAGCCTAAAATTTCGAATGCATGCCTCTCAGTGAGACGCATTTATTAGTGAACATATCATCATGCATGGAAATCACAACGGGTTGTAGACTAATCTTCACAGCAAAATCACAACACACAAGCAAGCATGTTCAAAGACACTCACGCGACCCTACAGTTTCTCCTTCTCTCTCTCGCTACCCTACAGTTTCTCCCTCCCCTCTCTCTCTCTCTCTCTCTCTCTCTCACACACACACACACACACACACACACACACACACACACACTATATAGTAAGTTTAAATAACCAGTCTGCGTACAGTTGCAGACAATTGTACCTGGGCTAATTGTCACTGGTTTGAATGCACTTTAGTCTCGACGTAAGGTACTTATATATAAACAACGAAAGGAACTTGCTTAGGTGATGTGTGGGGTTGCCCCACGTCGAATAAAAACGGGTTGATATCAAAAATTAGCTATTGTGGAAAGTACCTTCCCTTTATGTGAATCTGGGTGTACTAAGGACGAGGTCCACCTCCTACTTAACTGACATTTTTACTGATAAACGTGTTGAAATTTTTAAAATTGCTAGACGTTTTAACAATTTTGATCTTTTAAATGATCAGAACAACTTTTTATTTATGATTAGTAATAATAACATGGTTAATTTAGTTGCCAAGAGTTGATGCCGATTTAAGAATTAAGGAGAGATTTTATCTATAAATAATGCTCTAACGTGTATTTAAAGGGATATTCAGTATCTCAGCGTATTATAAAGAACTGCCATATTTTACTGCTTCAAATTTTGTATTTCTTTTTACATGGGCGAGACTAAAATGAAATATCTTTAATCGTTATAGTGACAATTCATTATCACTTAAACCAAGGAGTTATAACTCCTTGCTTAAACAAAAGTTACCTGTCCCGTCAGTCGTCCTTACGGATTCTCCCATCCTGTTACTCGTGTACTACTGCCAGCAAATGTGTGCAAGTTAACCACGGTTCCTTGTATTAAATGACTTGGCTACAAACTGACATAGTTGAAGGTTACAGATGGAGAACTAGCTGTTGCGTTAGTGTTTTAAATTGACATTTACTTGTTTTTCATTTAACACGGGCCCTCAGTTTCCTGTTATCGGTGTCATCATAATGTAAAAAGAGTGCGTTGAATAAATACAATAAGATTAAAAATAAAATGTTGCAAAACAGGCAACTGAATCTGCTGGTATATTACATTAATGTGTAAAAACGACACCTTTACAGTGTGGCAAACCAAATAAGACATTTCAAATTATGTTTAAACCTGTCGATTAATCATAATCAACTATACCAGACTTACAAGATGTCTAGACATACGTGTGAGGTCAGTTCTGAGCCAAAACACAGAATCAACGAAGAATACTCCAGTTGCTCAGTACACGATGGTCTTTGTTAGCAGAGGGAACAAAAATATTCTTTTAACATAATTAATTTATGTATTTATTTCTATATAACAGATGTACTTATCAATAGATCCTCTTACCCATGACCTGAAAACCTTAGCCTCTTTAAAACATTTTTCAAATGTTCATGCAGACATGTCTACATTCCTAATTTTAAAGTAAATACAGGATATGCTGTCATATTGCACATAGGCAATATACCAGATTCCTGAAACTGAGCCAAAAATCAGCAACGATTTGCAGCAGACACACAGGGCAAACAGTGCTGTACTCCCATTGGTGTAGATGTGTACTGCCAGCCAGTGACACTGTGCCATCTGGACAGAGTTGACAGGTAGTCTGGGCCTGTAAGTCCTGGCACGTCCCTGGTCCACACAAGCTACACTCACTGGTGCCATCTGGTGAGTAATTGTTGTAGAAGCTGCTTCTGGGACAGGCCACTGCAAAATGGCCTGTCGCAGTTAATCACTATTTACCGGCCGATTCTTTGAGTTACTTCCGCCCTCAGATTTTCAATTGGTTTATATCTGTATTGATACTAGTTTTGTATGTACCGTTTATTGAAATAGGCGTGTATGTGTGTGTGCGTGCGTGCCTGCCTGCCTGCGTCCATGTGTGTGTTCGATATAATCTTAATTATATCGCATTCTTTAAAAGATTCGTTATTAATGTTATTGATAATAACATTAATTGTGGTATCTTTTATTATGATCCACTATTAAGTAGAATATAAATGGTTTCATAAGTACACTATATGACCATTTGGCTTATTGTCCTCTTTGGGATTGAATCAATTTTAAAGAAAATCTATTTCATAACAGTAATACCCGAAGAGGTGAATCAGCATAAATCCCAGATAGCGTATTTATTTTATTATTATTATTTTATTATTTCATTTTTATTTCAACTTGTAGGCCAATTAACTACTGTTCCTGTCGGAAAAAAAGATGTTGGTCAATTAACTTGGTCACGAAGTGGTCTGGGACAGGTCTTAATTAGGATGTGGTCTGGGCCACTTAGGAAGCGGGCTTGATTAGGCCTGGACCTGTGACATTATGTCTGCATTAGATGTCTGTAAAATATCCGTACCCTGGTCTTAGACCGTGGTGAAAAATTACAGTCATCTACGAGTTAGCTTTTTGATCTTAACCGTCAGATACACACACTGGACAACAGAAGTTTCACCCCCTGAATCAGAGTAATCAAAGTAGGTAGATCTTGAGTAGTTATAATGCCTGGTCTACTTATTATGTGACTAATGAGTATAAAACCGCTGTTCCATGGAATTGTATTTTTGGTCTTTTTGTGAAATTTGATGTTAATAAAATGATACCACATAANTTAAGCTACTAGTTCCTCTGCCATCAAAATGAACTCTTTTTTTCATCATTAAATGTCACAGATAGGTCCCCGCTCTTGGGCCTAAAAGTCCTGAGGCGTCTCCCCCCTCTGTGAACCCCCACTGGCTGTTCCCACATTTCCCTGTGGGACAGGCTTGGGTTGTAATCAGTGCCACCTGGCGACCGTTCTGGAGCAGTACTGCTGCGAGGGATACTAGTCGTACTGGTTCCAGGAATATCATGTGGATTCCAGGCGCATATTAACTCCATGGGAAGTAGATCTGGTTGAGAATTGGTCATCCTATTCCTATATAGCCGCATTTCCCGAAGATCATATGTCTCTCCATAATCGCTCAAGTCACTGGTGGACTTAGTGCACACTGAGGCGCCATCTTTGAGACTGGTGATGATGACTTTACGATCCCTGCGATGTGTGATGCAGATGATGCATGTCAACATGGCAAATGTTACAGCAGCTACACCACTGGCTATTATGACCACAGTGAGCAGGTTCCACACTGGTGGTGTGCCTGCAGTGTCCCCTGACCCTGATACTTGAGAACCTGAATAATAATAATAATAATAATAATAATAATAATAATAATAATGGAGGTATGAGATTAAATTTCTAGAGATAAACAAGCTTTATTACCATGCATTATCCCTATCACATATAGATATGCTATAATTTATCATTACAAGATTCTGAATTAATCAGATTCGTAAAATCTGGTTATATTGAGTATGTTGGAACTTTTTTTATAAACTCTCTTACCCATAACCTGAAAGCCTTAGTATCTTTAAAATATTTTCATTTTTCAAATTTTGCATGCTGTCATGTCTACATTCTTAATTTTAAAGTAAATACATGATATGCTGTCATATTGCACATAGGAAATATGCCAGATTCCTGAAACTTTGCCAAAAATCAGGAAAGATTTGCAGCAAACATACAGGGCAAACAGTGCTGTACTCACATTGGTGTACATGTGTACTGCCAGCCAGTGACACAGTGCCATCTGGACAAAGTTTACAGGTAGTCTGGGCCTGTAAGTCCTGGTATGTCCCTGGTCCACACACGCTACACTCACTGGCGCCATCTGGTGAGGAATTGTTGTGGAAGCTACCTCTGGGACAGGCCACTGTAATTTTAATTTAAAATATACAAATGATCTGGGTTTTGATATACTAGTATTATGTATTCTTTCAAATTCCGCTTTATCAAATATTTCAGGTATATCAGTACTTTGCCTCGATAAACATCCCCTACAACCACTATACAGGTAATTGTTTTTGACACATAAGTACTGTTACACCAATTTGGCTGTTTTCCTTTTTTTTTAATAATAATAGGTTGTTTGGGTAGTGGTTCTTGTTGAGAGACATATAAATTGACCTTATATAACACAGTAAATAAACATGCATTCAATCTACAGAGGTATTCTGAAAAGCACTTTTTTATTTAATGTATAAGAATATTAATAAATCATAATCATTTTGGATGACTTTGCTGAACATTTTTGGATCACCTAGCCTCAAAATACAAGATTATAGATATTTATGTGGAAGACAAAAAAAAGGTTCCCTCAGCATGAACACTCTCTTATCAACAGTAAACATATTGGCAAATATCATATGTTGATGACTCATACAGACCTAACAAGCCAGTAACAGCTGAATATAACAATCAGATATGCTGGTTGACTATTCCTCACATGATTTTATCCCAGATAAAATGCTATACACTTACCACACACTTCCTCCACTTTTATCTGTCCCTCAGGACATGTCCACCTGTGACTAATGATCTTCAGACTTCCTGGAATGCTCTCGTACTGACCACTGTCCACTCTCAGGTCACGACCAGAGTTGACCAAGTCTTGTAGACTGGCTGCTGCTGCTTGGATGGCATCGGTGATGTTGTCTTCATTTGGAGAGCCACTATATTTAATGATGAATAAGTAATCATAGTTATTTCCATTTGATTCCTTTACTATGCTTTTGATAATGAAGTGACATATTTTCATGACAAATGTGTTAGCAGTGACAAGTGTGCTGGGCGAGTTAAGTGAAAGGTCATTGTGACATAGCTATGTTGGCTATTGTCCAGTTGACAGATACTGTGAGGCATGGCAAAGATGTAAAAATGTGTGAGAGAGTATGAAATGGGAGCTCTTTATGAATGTTGACACAATGTTGAATCAAGAACATTGCAACAGCTTGATGTGTTAGCTGCATCAGAAATATATGTGTTTGAGGTGTGTGCAGTGCATGCATGCCTATGAATGTGACTTGTGCTGTGCATGTTAAAAACATCTATACCTAGCATCAATTTGCAAAGTCAAAAACAGCTCCATGATATCAGCATCCTCACTCTGTGTATTGTATGCCACCTCCCTGAGACTTCTGGTAGAAAGTTTTCTAAATGGTGCTACATCTCCATTAGACTCCCCTGCCTCCTCTTTAATACTTTTACTTGAAGAGACAAAGTACATTGTTCTCTCAGTGTTCAAATCACCTGCTTCTTTTACTCTGTTCTGATTTAGTGTAGCAGCAGCTTCATCTCTGGCAATGCTTCTACGCCACATCATTCTGCTGTGGATTTGTAACCTGGATGGACTAATTAATGGAGATAAAGAGTTTTGTTCAACTGGGTTGTGACTATTTTTTCTCCTAGACATCATAGTTGATTTTGGTCTTAAAACTGACCTTTGGCTTTTGTCTGATGAATTATATTTATTCAAGTTGGAATGTGTGCTTGTGACTTCTGCATATGAGCGTCTCTTCTTTTGAGTTGAAGAGGAAACTACTTCCAATAATTTCTTTTTACTCTTTTGTTTTCTGTGACAGTTAAGATTCAACTTCAGTTGGGGTTTACACGGTGTCTCTCCTGATTTCAGTGAAGAGCATATTCCTCTTGATTTCATTTTTTGAAGTATTATGTCTTTCATTTTGGCCAAGAGTTCTGTTTGGTCAGAAATACATCTTCCTTTTAGAGACATCCTATATTCTGCCAAAACTCTGTAGTTCTTCCTTATTTCTGAAATAAACAAATAAATAAAAAGTTTTCATAAATGGATTATGAAATGAAATTCAAGCACACTTCAATAAATATAAGAGCAAACAAAAAACTAAATCAAATCTAGAAATAAATATTTAAAAAAAAACTTACCTAAACAAGACTGTTCAGAGTAAAACATGGGCAAATTGTCCCATGTTCCATTTCTACAGAGAGCACCAGGCACAGCCAGCTTTGTAAACTGAGGATTGAGTCTGTGTGTTTCCTCATTGCACACCAGATGGCAGTAGTTGTTTTCACAGTCAAGACGGCCTCCAGTGACAGGTTTTGTAGGTGGGTCACATCCTAAAAAAAAAAAAAAAAAATCATATTATGGCTACCTTTATTTGGGATATAAAGTTGAGACAGTGATTATACTTTTTGTTGTCATGTCTGCTATGAGATTTTTTACGTCAAATACAAATTAAAAGTATATTATCAATGATTTACTATTACACATTTACGTTTTGTGTATAATTATGTAGAAAACTTACTCATATCCACTTCAGTTAAATCTTTTAATAATTTCTTTAAATAAGGTTTTATTAAATTTAACTACACAAAAAAAAATTATTTCATAAAAGTGATACTCTAAATTATCAGCCACTATGTTAGTAAAGACCATCATGATAAAGACCCAATTTGATGCCCAACTTACTATCTTCCAAATCAGCTGAGGTAGTGGTATCCCCCAATACCTCAGTGGTATTACTGCTAGAATAGGTGGATTCCTCTGTCACAGCAGTTGTATTATTATCCCATGCAGTAAGTGTTGTTTCTTCCACTGCTATAGAAGTATTTATCCAAGATAAAGTAGTGTTCTCAGAGCTGTCGGTTGCATTTATCACAGATAAAGTTTCATTTGCTATATTAATTGTTTCTGTTATATTAATTTCATGGACAGTGGTGTTCTCTGCTGCACTTGTTGAATTCACCCAAGAAAAGGTAGTGCTTTCCTGGGCTTTTGTTGTATTTCCTTCAGAGGAAGTAGTGTCTACCTCTGACTTTGTTTTATCCATCAATGAAAACAGAATATTTTCTACAACAGAAAATTAAGAAAAAAAGTTGATAGTTAAGACAGGGCAACTCATTGCTTGTAGACATCTTGAATAATTTCCAGGTATTTTAGCAAATGCATGAAAATAATAACAAAACTGATATTTTCTATGGAAGTATTAATAATTGGGGTAAAATTCAATGGAACCTGTTCTAATATTTTCAATCTAAAGAACTAATTTTAAATTACCACTTACAAGCTCACAAATATTAAACAAAAATATATGATATTTAAAGAAACACAAAATCATCATTTTACCTTCTTTTCTGGATATTTGGAAGGCAATTGCAGTTGGTCTATATAAATTGGTTGCCATGGTGATAACCTGCCCTGTTTCCATGAAAACATAGCCTATCCTGCTTCCAGTCCAGTCAGTAAAGAAAAGCAATCTGTCACTGTAAAGTGCCATACCATAGATATGTGGCAGATCTTCAGTAATTTTCAACCCATGCCGTTGGGACCCTAAAGGCAGAGAATTTTGATGATACAAGGAGTCTATTTTTATTTTTAATTACGTTAAAAGAGATATTAGAAAACGTGCACTGTGTCAAGCTAGGCAGTTCCTAAATCACTGACAAGAAATAACTAACAGCACAGTAACTGTGGAATTTCACAAATATAATCACAACTTTTAAAATTTGCATAAAAAATATGTGCATAGCCAACAGTATGGAATATAATAAATTTTTTATCAATTTACCGTCTAATCTCATTTTTTCTATCCTCCTGTAATATCCATCAGCAACAAGCAAAAATGAAGAGTTGACATCTGGGGCTGGGTGGACAATAACAGAATTTGGCCACCTTAAACCATCACTGGCCACTGTTTGCATATTATGACCATCAGTGGTCACTCTTTTGATGCTGGGATGAAGGCCATATTCTGTCCAGTAGATGAAACTGAAAAAAAAAAAGATACTAAAAAAGTGAATATACTGAATATACTGTTTAATAAGTATTTTATCTTGAGGTTAGTAAAGTTAACATTTTTTTCTTAAATTCACTTCATGAATGATACTGTAAATACTTGAATTAAATTTTCAAGCATGCTACTTTTTTCTTTTGTTTCACTTTTAAAAGACTTTCTTATCATTTAAAAACACAACAACATACTTGCTGATATGAAGCAAACTAACTTTTTAGAACTTTTGAATTAACATATTAGTGTAATACTAGTACTAACAAAGCACTTTTTAGGGAAATAATTAATGTGGCTCAAGTTTTTTTTTTTTTGAAATAATTACCATAAACATCAAACCAGTGCTTTACATGGAAGCAAACTGGATATGTACAATAAGTCTAGCCCATTTAGATATAAATCAATTGCAACCACCCATATTTTGATATAATTTTAATAATGTGCATTGTAACAACTTCATTATAATTAGTGAACTAACCCATTTTGCCAATCTACAGCCAAAGCTCTAGGCAGTACTAGCCCAGTGGTCAGTATCCTTGGAACCAACTGACCATCGTCACTTAGTTCTACACATGCTATTAGACCCACTGTGGCATTATAGCCCACCCAGTAGAGCAGGGAATGTCCAGGTCTTTTACTTGGCTTGACTGTGGAAGTTCTGGACATAACAGTAACTGCCTTGGTTTGGTCTGTATTATATTGCATAGTGGTCTGGCTTGACCCATCTGTGTGCTGACCAGACCTATCTGTGATCTGACCAGACCCATCATAGGTCTTGCTTGACCACTCAAAGATCTTGCTAGACCCATCAGTGGTGTTACGTGACCAGTCAGTGGTCTTAATAGACCTTTCAGTAGTCTGATCAGTCTGATTATTTGCCTGATTGCTTATCTCAACAGAGCCATTGGTCATCTTTGAGGACTGATCCGTTACTGCAATGAACTGGTCATTTATCATACCAGACCATTTATCTGTGTGAGATACCATGCTAGATGAGTCGGCCAAAGGTATGGACTGGTCAGTTGAACTCCTCCACTGGTCAGTTTGTGTCCTGAACTGGTCAACAATGACCATACTGTCTACTGCATAGTTTAGGTGCAGGAGGGTGGTGACATTACCTGGAGAATCTAGAGGTACAGTCAGAAGCCTGGGACTGTAAATAAAACAATAATTTCCAGCACTGATATACATTTACTAGGCTACTATATTATGGCACTTATTTAATTAAGTTTACAAAAAGGCAAATATATGACAATTTATTTGACAATGTAAATAGATGAAATTTTACTTGATACTGTACTCTATGCCTGTGTCTAATTTAACATTGTAGATTAATTCATTGCCCATGAAAACTGCACAAATATTAAAAGGATTACACATACAAGCATTGATTTTGTTTTATGACATTTGAGGAAAAAATCTTGAACATATGACTAAAACAGTGGGAATCAAAGACAGGCACATGTACAACACTTATTAAACAAATCACTTTCAGGCAGATGGCACACTGTACCTTTTCAAGTCTGCCCAAAATATCCTCCTTTCTTTCTGTTCATACACCATGGCCACAAAGTTGGCATTATAACTGCCCTGAACCAGTGTATAGATATGCCTATCACTTGGATTGTCCAGGTTGATCAGCTTGATGGTGTTTAGGTCAGCAAAGAGGACAAAATTTTCAGGTGCTAAAAATAAAAAAAATTCTAATTATAAATATGTTTAAACAATCGAATAAGGCTACTAAAAGAAATTGACAGTTATGAATACCAGTACATGTAGGTCCAACAATTCCATAAATTCAGCTATTACAGTAAAAGATTACTTGTGAGCAAACCAAAATATGCCCAGTCACAATACTTATTTTACTGAGAAAATGACCTATATTTCTGTATCTTTTATTCAAAATGAGAGAAATTTTGGTCAGTATTCAAAGATAACATAAAACCATCCCCAAAGCTGCCTCTTTATGAATACTTACCAACACAGCTCTTCCCATTTTTTGACAGCACTTTGCCAGTCAGGTCACTGCACTGACAGCGGCACTCTGTACCACTCTCTGGTGGGGTTGGGATACAGATGTCATCACAGTTGCTGGCCGAGCAAACTAAGCTGATGTTTTCTGCAAATTTTAAAATTATATATTTTTGGTGAAAATGCAATCGTTTTATAAATGCCCAAATCTTCAAGTACAGTTGTGTACATGTTTCATACACAAACAAATTTAAGACAACACACAAAAAATATCTGATATCATAAAAAAACAGAGGAGATCCCTGTAAGAAGCTATTATGTAACTATGCATTTCTAAATGGTGTCACAAATTTTTCTTGTTATTACACAAGTTGTCATAAATTGTTAGTCATAACAATAATAAAACAGTCTCTTTAGAAATCATTCCCCTTCTTGTACCTCCATACCTGTATGACTGACTAAGGCTGTACTATAGAACAGCCCAGTAGGGTTCCCATAGACAGACAGGTTCTGGCTCTCCCCACTGTCCATATTGTAGATGGTCAGTCTGCCCATGTCCTTCTGCTGACCTGTCCACTCACTCAGGACAATGTGCTGACCAAAGGACGCTATAGACAGGGGGACCTAGGGAAGTATAATGATACACTTGTTTACAAATTTAAATTGAAAGAAACTAAAATAAGTGACACTAACTATTTACAAGATTTAAAATGAATACCCCAAGAAAATTGTAATTAAGATATGTTTCTTTCACTCACAATTTATTACTACTCTTGTTTACGATAGTTCATAACATTAGCATTAATAAATCATTTTATTAGTATTTGTGCACGTTTGGTAGGGGTAGGAGGTTTGGTAAGGGCAGGTACTTGTTTCATCAAAATTTTTTGCCCAATTAATAAAATATTATTTGGGGAATATTATCAATCAATTAAAAAAAAACTCATTCACAAGTCAATGCTGAAATGTACTCACTTGGACATTCACCAAAGGACCCTCCATATCATTCCAAATCCCTGTCTCTGTATCATACACAGCCACATATGGCCTCCTTGCCTTGCGGTTATAGTTGGAGTCCACCATGTAAAGTTTTCCCTGGTACAAACTCAGGCTGTTTGGGTTGCTAATGTTGGTGTCCCGTAAAACTGCTGGGTTTGCACCATCTAGTTCAGTTCTGATTACTTTTGGGTGCTTTCCCCAGTCTGTGTAGTACAGGTACCTGATAAAGTGAAAGTGAAAGTGATGTCAAAGCTCACCAAGCAGACTTCATTAAGCCCATAACTCCATCTTTTGGTTTTAATCCATGGAAATTTCATCAAAAAGGCTAAGGTCTAGACTGTCTACTGTACAATCACATCTGTTAAACATAGCCCAAGAGAAGTTGTGCTTTCTTAAAAATGTACACCAAAATTTGTTGCAATGGATTTTCATCCAGTCTCACCTAACACAATCAAATCCATTCAAGCACAATGTTATTAGTTTAGTTTCACCACTAACACAATGTGCGACAAAACTCACAAAACCTGATTGACTTAATTTTCTTTGTAACAGATTTTTTCAGTAAATTTATTTTTGACTTTGCTGCCACACCTCATTTTTCCACTTTTCATTTTGGTTTCTTATTCCCACTGAATGCCATGAAACAGATCCCTGTTGAACCTTAGTACTAGATAACTAAATTCACTCATGCCAAATTCAAAAGAGTAAAATATTTAAACTATAACTATGACAACTTTCATAATAAAAAAATCTTGCTATGATACCTAAACCAAATTCTTACCCTTTCTCTCCATCAACAACCAGCCCCCTTGGTTTCTCTGGCAGTGTTGTCATGGTCCAGCGTTCAGTCCTGTCCAGACTGACCATTTCTATTTTGTGCCAAACAGAGTCGACCACCCTCCCTTCCTGTGTAGGCTGCCTCCTGTTGGTAAAGTAAAGCCTCCTGTGCCTCCAGTCCACTGCCAAACCTGAAATATTCAAAGTTTTAGCTAATCATCTGCTTCAGTTTTTAATTCTAAGTTATTATTATTATATTACTGTATTTTCACACATATTATACTCTATATACTCAGAATAGGGGACTAACTAGTCAGAGGGTCAAATATGAAGACCCACTACAAAGCTTGCCGTCTAATCCACTAATAGACACTGAATAGATATCCCATGGGAAAGATTTCAAGTAGGTTGGCCATATTTGATCCTCGGACTAGTTAGTCCCCTATTCTGAATCAATTTTGAATGTAAATGTTTTACATTAATTTAGTTGAATAAATTATCAATATGTATTATTATGTCATCATATAATAAACACAAACATCACTGTCCTGTAACTGAGAGAGTGACAGAGAGAGAGACTGTCACATTTCTCAACTCACCATCAACCACTCCAATCCCTGCCGTATGGGGTAGAAACAGTTGTTTAGATGTTCCATTCAGGTTAGCACGGTACACACTTTTCTCCCTCACATCACTCCAGTAGACTTTCTATAATCAAAACAGCATAGTCTGTTATATATTTAGATGAGGCACCTCTAAATATTGTTTCTGCATGAATTTTTTAAAAATAAATTATGTAAATCTTGTAACAATATAATTCCTGAATAATTCAATAATTTCTTGAGTGCATTTTTATGTTTTGCAACTAGACTGTGTACCATATACCAGTATATACGAGTAGTTAATACCTTATTATGCTATAATAATATAATCATTGCATTAAACCATTTAACAATTTTATTGTGTCAAACCTTTTATGCATGTCTAAAATTTATATTTGAACAAATACCATATTCTGTTACCAAAAGTACTACAAATAGTAATTATTACCAAATGACAGTATTCACATTTATTTACTAGCACTACTTGTCTTGTGGCAAACATCTTGTTCAAATCAATGAATGTTTCTCATCAATATATAACAATTTCAATAACTTTAATTATCCATTAAAATCAATACATTATTAACTGTACAATTTCTTGTTGATTCCGTACCTTATCAACAGGATCATAAGCCACTGCTACTGGTCTGCTACTCTGTGCCACAAGATAGGTGTCACCACTGTACAGTTTACTTGGATTGAGATATCCAATCTGACCTGTGTCTTTCTTGGTCCAAAACAGGTAGTCAGTTGGCTCTGAAGAAGAAAAATTTGGAAATGAAGAAGTTATAATTAGTGGACAGTCTCAAGAAAAATAAATTTATACTATGAACATTAAAAATTTATACATGAAATGTGTCCTGAAATGTAAACACAGCAATATAGCTTATTGTGCGATTTCAACAAATCCTGTTTCATATTAAATTTTTAGCCCCATCACACTTACTAGTAAATCAGGCCTGTCAACCTTCTCAATTTTGAAATGTCTCCTGATTTGATGACTGCACTCTATGTAACATAAGATTTGGTAGTCTCCTTGCTTATCTTATCCTATTATGTGTTCCAATTTTTTTAATAAAGAAAGAAATATTAAGGCATCAAAAAAAAAAAAAAAAAAGCCCAGAGCAATGTTTTGAGGGGGAGGTGCTAACTGCCACTAAAAATCTACCTCTCTGGTAATTTCCCATATCAACTGTTCTTAAAAATTACATGCAACAAACAAAATCAAACAGATACCACAGAAGCTTGGCAATACTGGTTGGTGAAAGACCAGTACTGCAAACAAGCCCCTTGCTGTGCACACACCCAAGCACAGACCCCACGCAGTCAAGACTTCAAAACAGTGGATCCATCAGGCTTGACAGCATGTATATTCTGTACATTCCTCAATATGTTATCTTTATCAAAAGAATCACAGACAACACCTACATGTTTCCCGGCAGTGAGTCCATGCATCAAGTGCACAGCTTTTTACCCTAAGTTAGCTCTTACTTGTACTTCCTTCTCTTCAGTAACTGCCAAGTGTTACGTACATTTATGTTTTTAGTGTCATTTTTCATTGCCCAAAACACACACCCTACTCAGATAAATACTGGTCTTTTGATCTATATTTAGCCCCTACTTCCTGTACATGTACCATACCTTTACAGCCTTTTTCAAAGTATTATAGTTACTCTCATTTAAAACAAACTCCATGTACCTGAACATGTGTTGTGCTGTGTATATCTATTGGGGATATTTTTCAATTGGCCAGCTGGCTTTGGCCTTCAGTGCACCACATGTAAAAAGTTTGCCTTTAGACAGCAGTTTGCCTTTAGTTGCTATATTGTGGCAAATAAGCCATTCAAAATGCCTTGTCCTGAATCATCTCAGATCTTTTCTTAATTGTATGCAATTACATATTTTCATATATTGATTTAAATTTAAGGAAACTGCATAAAATAAATGCAATAGAGGATGATTAAATAGCTTTTTTTATCTTCGCCAGTGGCTTTTTGATGCGATGAATTACCTGACTTACATTACACCTGTATTTAATTGCTATGAATTATTCCAGTATTAGTCTGAGGATACACATTGCATAGTTGTCCATTTATTGCAGCATAAACAATGAAAAGTGCAAGGCAATATTAGCAAAAACGACAGTAGACACAACACACTGCTATAATATTGTATGTAAAAACAATAACAAATCCAAAGCAGGCGAGAAAATTTATCACCCTGTCCACCTTTACATATATTAATTTAATAAAAAAAGAACATGTCTACTGTTTTATATTTGCCTCTCTTCCCTCAGCAATTGCTCAATTTATAATCCATACTTGTTTCCCAACCCCCTCCCCACGTAAGCAAAACTCAAGATCTCACTGCATGGGTAAAAGTTGTATGTCCTTTTAACGTATAAACAATATNTTTCATATTAAATTTTTAGCCCTATCACATTTACTAGTAAATCAGGCCTGTCAACCTTCTCAATTTTGAAATGTCTCCTGATTTGATGACTGCACTCTATGTAACATAAGATTTGGTAGTCTCCTTGCTTATCTTATCCTATTATGTGTTCCAATTTTTTTAATTTAAAGAAAGAAATATTAAGGCATCAAAAAAAAAAAAAAAAAGCCCAGAGCAATGTTCTGAGGGGGAGGTGCTAACTGTCACTAAAAATCTACCTCTCTGGTAATTTCCAATATCAACAGTTCTTAAAAATTACATGCAACAAACAAAATCAAACAGATACCACAGAAGCTTGGCAATACTGGTTGGTGAAAGACCAGTACTGCAAACAAGCCCCTTGCTGTGCACACACCCAAGCACAGACCCCACGCAGTCAAGACTTCAAAACAGTGGATCCATCAGGCTTGACAGCATGTATATTCTGTACATTCCTCAATATGTTATCTTTATCAAAAGAATCACAGACAACACCTACATGTTTCCCGGCAGTGAGTCCATGCATCAAGTGCACAGCTTTTTACCCTAAGTTAGCTCTTACTTGTACTTCCTTCTCTTCAGTAACTGCCAAGTGTTACGTACATTTATGTTTTTAGTGTCATTTTTCATTGCCCAAAACACACACCCTACTCAGATAAATACTGGTCTTTTGATCTATATTTAGCCCCTACTTCCTGTACATGTACCATACCTTTACAGCCTTTTTCAAAGTATTATAGTTACTCTCATTTAAAACAAACTCCATGTACCTGAACATGTGTTGTGCTGTGTATATCTATTGGGGATATTTTTCAATTGGCCAGCTGGCTTTGGCCTTAAGTGCACCACATGTAAAAAGTTTGCCTTTAGACAGCAGTTTGCCTTTAGTTGCTATATTGTGGCAAATAAGCCATTCAAAATGCCTTGTCTTGAATCATCTCAGAACTTTTCTTAATTGTATGCAATTACATATTTTCATATATTGATTTAAATTAAAAGAAAATGCATAAAATAAATGCAATAGAGGATGATTAAATAGCTTTTTTTTATCTTCGCCAGTGGCTTTTTGATGCGATGAATTACCTGACTTACATTACACCAGTATTTAATTGCTATGAATTATTCCAGTATTAGTCTGAGGATACACATTGCATAGTCGTCCATTTATTGAAGCATAAACAATGAAAAGTGCAAGGCAATATTAGCAAAAACGACAGTAGACACAACACACTGTGATAATATTGTATGTAAACAATAACAAAACCAAAGCAAGCGAGAAAATTTACCACCCTGTCCACCTTTACATATATTAATTTAATAAAAAAAGAACATGTCCACTGTTTTATATTTGCCTCTCTTCCCTCAGCAGTTGCTAAATTTATCATCCATACTTGTTACCCAACCCCCTCCCCATGTAAGCAAAACTCAAGATCTCACTGCATGGGTAAAATTTGTATGTGCTTTTAACGTAGAAACAATAAGTGAATTCTTTGTACTTGTACCTGTACATGTCTTGTTATCTGAAGCCAGTGCCAGTCCACCATATGTAGGGCACCTGCACACATAATCCTGCAGACTCATCCTGGTGAAGCAGAAATGGCTACAGTCTGCTTTGTTGTCACAGAGATTCACAGATGCTGTAAAAGTAAAAAATAAAATGGTTGAAAATGAGTTTGAGAGCACTAATTTCTATTAAGTTAATATTATATTTGTAAGTGTTTATTATTCTGGGGTCCACAGGATCAAGTGAATCTTTCTCATTAAGCAATATTTTTTTATATGCACATATTCTGAACAAGGTGAAAATGTGAGCCCTCCCCCCCCCCCCCCCCACACACACACAAACACATACACTTCCACTACCACTGATATTTTGGATTGGCTTCCTTCAACAAGTACAAGATAACCCAGTGTGCTAGATACGACAACAAGTGTGTTAGGTATGACAGTGTTACATGTGACAGCTTGATGTTGTATATGAAAGTGTGCTTGGTGTGACAATGTAAATGTCGATATCAATTAGCTATATCGGTCATAAGGAGATATAAATCAAAGTGGATATAATAAGAACAGGCCATTATTAATGTAGGATTGAAGTTGTTAAGTGTTAAAGGACAGCATGACAGGGAATCACCCTGAAAGGTTAAAATCTAAATACATTTTACATAAGAACTTGGGCCTCATATTTTAGTTGATAAATAACCTAACTATGAAATCATTCCATCTCACACCGATAGCTACTGTAAAATGCCAATACCTGTACCATAACACAGCAGAAAAATGCACACTAAATGACCTGATGCACTGTATGTACATTGTATTCATACCCATATTTGTGACCATGCACCCCAGAGTATAAAAACTAACACCAGGGCCAAGTCAACAGGACCTGCTGGGAACAGACTTAGAATAACTCTGAACATAAACAAATGACTGGCAGGCTTGTCTAAGATGGGAAGCACTAGGGGAACTGGGTTAACTCACAGTATGTTGTATCAGTGCATATTGCTCATCAGCTGATGAGTGTATGTATTTCTGAAGATGAAATAAAATTCGCTTGCGAAAAAAAGGTAACCATTAAAGATGCTTACCCATTGGTTGGCCTGCTGAGCTGGCAACTGCGATGCTGAACATTTCCCCTCCTGTCATCCCCTCCAAGACAACTTTCATGGAATTGTTCTTTTTATCAAGGTCTGTAGAAAAGATGGCACCATTGTACCATGTGCTGAAGTACATGGTTGTTCCTTTAAGAAATACAGAAAGAAATAAAAAAAAAAAGCATATAAGGCTAGAAGAACTGATGAGTGATAGTTGTGACAATGTGCTAAAACTAAAAGGTGTCAAATGGCAGTCTTTTCAATTTCACAGCATGTGACAGTTGCTACAATTAAGTAATTTTCTTAATATTAAATTTGACAATGTGTCAAATTTATGAAAGAATAAGAAAAATATGTCAGTGATGTGAATGGGCAAGCGAGTGTGGTGGCTACTTCAAGAATTATTAATAATAAATGCAAATTAATTTGAATGTAGCTTTGGGCTTAGTGAAAGGCTGGTATTTTGCATGGCAGGGATAAAAGCTGCTATGTGCAATACAGCTATGCTGCATTTCTATCTACCAATTTTGCACCCCTCCTGTTTGTAATAGTCCTGGATGTGCCAGCCAACAATGATTGGCACCCTGATACTAGCTGCAGAGAGATAAAATAAGTAATTTCCTCTATTGTGGAAATTTAGTTTTTATTATAAATTCTCATATTCAATGAATCACACTGAAATGAATACAGTACGTACCATCAGCTGCTATGCCAAACAAAGGGTTGGCTTGAAGAGTGTCGCGGAAATCATACTGGACTTGGGCGTGGCTTCCATCCAGGTCACATGACCACACGGTCTTGTTCCAAGCATCTACCCAGTATAACTTACTGTAAAGAAGAGAGCCTCTATTAAACAGCAATATATATACTAAGGGTGACAAAGAGCATCATTCAATATAACAGTGGACATGGCAGAGTACATGTGTGTGCTAGTGTGGTAATTAGGCTAATTCAAGTACAATATGCTGCCACACACAAAAAACAAGTCAAGGTGATATTATGATAGTGAAGCACCGCGAGTTTCAGAGGACACTGAAAAATCGCCTTTCTATACCAGTATACTGGTAACAGCTGAGGTATGCTGATACTAAGTAGAGAGGTGAGTTTTGAAATGGCCTATGAAACTCAGGGTACAGTGAAGTGACCAAAGCATTATGTAAAATTGTATTTTTGTTAGGCTCAGCAAAAATCTCTTTCTGCAACATATATATAATTCAGGTATTAAAATGCTTTCCAAACTGGGTCCAGTTCACAACACCAATCTTGTAGAAATATGACCTCAACTAAGTATGTTTACTGTTTAGTTTGCAGCAATATCCAAATCCAACTGTTACCTCTTACCTATCTGCATAATTGATGGTCAGCTGATTTGGCCAATATATTCCCTTTCTGACCAGAGTCCCTCTCATAGAACCATCCAGTTGTGCATGTTCAATTGTCCTACGACCCTGATCACCCCAGTAGATAGTGCTAAAATTAACAACATGCTGGGAGTGAAATTATGTGACGATGTGATATGTGTGAAATTGTGGTAGGTGTGAAACTGTACCAGGTGTGATATGGCATATTCCATCTGACACTGTGTTCTGGGTGACAACATGTTAGATGTAATCATGTGATAAGTGTGCCACTGTGGTAGAGCTGGCACTGTGGCAGGTGTAACTTATTGGTTTATGTGACAGTTTGTAGGAGCAGCAGGTGCTGAAGCAGACTCTATTCCAGGCATCATCTCTGAGGCAGCAACTCCATGATAAAAGAGTGACAACAATATCTAGTTACACAAAACAAAAACAATTAATAAATCAAATCAACAGCTGTATATAATTTTTTTGTATCAGCATGTATTCTACTTTTTTTCAAACCATTAAAAACACACTGAAGCCCTACAGCAAAACATTCTATCTCTCTTAACCACTTCAAATATCTATCTCATAAGCTTTGAACTTTTTCCATGTAAACAGCAAAGTCAAGGGTACAGGTGATATCTTCCACATAACAAAAAATCATCACTTGAAAACAGATGTGCGTGCATGCCTCAGATACGGGATGTTGAGGTTTCCTGTAACACAGGAATTTCATATCTGTTTACTGTTGGATAAAAACACTGCCTTGCCTTCTCTTGGCAAATAAGAAATAGTAAAAGGGGACAATTCTATCAAAATTTGATGAGGTTTTCAGAGATGGAAAAAATTTAATGTCATTTTGCTTGTTATCGCTTTTTGTGAGGAAGAAGGGGAAGAAGAGATATCTCAGAACCTGTGTGTGTGTGTGTGTGTGTGTATGTGTGTGCGCGTGTGTGTGTGTGTGTGTGTGTGTGTGTATGTGTGTGTGTGTGTGTGAGTGCACGTGTGACTAACCTGTGGATAGGGTCCACCACTATTCCCCTTGGCCACAGCATACCAGAGAAAGCAATGGTCTTGGTGTATTTCCCATCGTAGTCTGAGACCAGCACCTCTTTCTTGGTGGTGTCTGTCCAGTAGAGTTGGTTACTCAGCCAGTCAACTGACAGTCCATGGACTTCCCCACAGTCTGGAAATATGGCAATACAGTTTATAGGATTACCATTTATGTAGACTTATGTAATTTACTCTTTACTCATAAATGTTAATGCTATACAGTTCATGGTGGTTTTGTTGATTGCTAATTAATTAATTGAGATAAACCGATTGTTCAAATGAATATTAAGTAAATCAATAAAGTTGAAATTATCTTATTGATTGCTTACTTAGTCGGTATATATTAAGCTTAATTTGGACATATACTTAAAATGTACTGTGGTCTCTATTGTGAATAGAAAAGTGAACAAACAAACATACAAACAAGCAGACCAAGATTTTTGCAAATTTTTTTTCACATTACCTAGTAATAATACAAATTGCACACTGGCTGATGCAAGATGGCTGATGCAAGAAACAACAGCAGCCACTGTGTCTGTGTCATTGCAGTGTTCAGACTTAACAGACCAAGATAGTACACAAATATACTTTTAAAAAGTAAATTTTCTGACCCCATTATGTTATGTAATAACAAAATTCAGTTCAGGCCAGCTAGCTGATCTTGATCTCTGACAGAAGTAAAAAAAAAAAAGGCTAACGCATCCTGTGGATGAATGGCAGCAGATAGGAAAGCCGACTTGCTGACTTCCAGGAACTAAAAGTGGGTCTGAGTATTTATCTTACGTAATATCTTACAGTATACAACTGATTATGGCCTTTACTTATCACAAATTCATGGTGAAAAATATGCCCAAAAATTCCCCAAAACTGTAAGCTAAACTGCTTCACATTATTCTCCTTTTCTGTACTAGTTCAAAATGTCTAAATATAAGTAATCGCTTGACATAAAAAAAAAAAAACAATAAAAAGAGAGAATATTAAAAACTATAGAATCATTCTGCCAATAGAGGTTTCAAAAAAGAAAAATAAAGATTCATGCCCAGCAGAAGGGAAATTTCTTGATCTCTCTCTCTCTATATGTGTGTGTGTGTGTGTGTGTGTGTGTGTGTGTTTGTCTGTACTTGCATACATGTATGTGTATACTTGTATCCTGCAGTTCTAGGCATTACACACTTCACATTTTTTTTCCTTTGATCTATCACGGCATGATTAGGCTCCAATGGCACTGTATCATTTCTCTATTTATGAACTACCCTAAAATAATGGTGGCTTTTCTCCAGCTCAGAAACATAACATGGGCCATATGCTTTATGAACACACTGCACACCTGTGCACATTGTATACACCTGAGAAATGTATACACCTGTACAAAGCACATGTACTTAAATTGTATAAATAAGTAACATATTAATATGATCTGCACTTTATACTAAATCATTAATTTTTTATCTTATCTGTATTTTCTATTATATTCATGCTAGCTTTGTAATAGATGATTGAAGAAGAGCATTATAAGTTGTTAACATGCTGAAGTTGAACATTTCAGAACTGAGTTTTTAAAATATCNCACCTGTACAAAGCACATGTACTTAAATTGTATAAATAAGTAACATATTAATATGATCTGCACTTTATACTAAATCATTAATTTTTTATCTTATCTGTATTTTCTATTATATTCATGCTAGCTTTGTAATAGATGATTGAAGAAGAGCATTATAAGTTGTTAACATGCTGAAGTTGAACATTTCAGAACTGAGTTTTTAAAATATCTTATGATTTAAGTTAGGTAAAAGTGTTAAAAGTGGTCATTTTTTATATAATTTTTAAGATCCAGTTGAGAAATTTGAATTATTTTAAACTAAAAATAATTGAGAAATTTCTGAAGTATAAATTAACACTCACCAAATGTCTAATATTCGTTAGAAAAGAAAAATTTGATATAGCTCTGGCCATTAAAAAATCTGACCAGCAAATGAACTTTTGTTACTGAATATTCACAATTTTCAGTTATTTCACTATAACATAAATAGAATAAATTCCCCTACTTTTTATGCAAATCACACTTTCACTCCTCTAAATAATGGTGCACAAAATTTGGTATTATCATGGTTTAATCTTTAATTTATGTAATCAGCAAAACAGACAAAAAATGTCAAGATCATTTTTGTGTAACTGACATACTAGTACATACTGTAATGTACATCTTTTACGTTGCGTGTACTCAGGACTAATTTCTCTTTTCCTAGGATATTGATAAGAAAAATATAAAGGGAACACACTTGTCAAAAAAAAAAAGAGTTGTGTATAAACATACTGCAGTGCTTTGGAAGACACTGTGCATACAAATGGTTAAGGTAAGTGGAAAGGAAATACCAAGCAGGATATGAACACGCCCTGCTTGAACTAGCAGTTCCTCAGAGTTGAAAGATAACGCTGCAGTCAATTATCTCAGAGATGAAATCATCCACGCCCTTTTTTTTTTTTTTACAACACTGACCGCAGTCATCAATGAGAGTTGGAATCCCAATAAATGTTCTTTGGGAATTTGATAGACTTTGAACCCCGGGCTGTTAATGTAATACTCAAATCTTAATTAATTTCCATGTTTTTTTTTTCCTTTCAAGAGGTGGAAAGAAATCTTTCAGAAACATGTAAAGACATAACAAAAACCACACCCCTCATTAGGTTCCTATTTGACCATCGTTAAGACGCTTTCAAATTCTCTTGAAAAAAAAAGCTTCACAACCTGTTGCCTGAAGCAATAAATCTTCAGCATATCTCAACCTGTCTTCTACTCCACTAAATATCACAAGGTAATGAAGGTGAAATGGCTGTGGAATCCAAGTTGCTGGGGTCACTCATGTACAAAAAGGTGAGGTGGCTTTTCTGCCAATTTACACTTGACCTAAGCATGTTAGTTTTTTTTTCGAAATTCTAGACAAATTCCTAGAGGCCCGTCTGGTCTTAAATTACTTTTTTTAGCCTGATGTTCCTCAGGCACTAGAGATGGTTTTTACTTTTTCCTGTCTGTGTAAATAACTGATTTTGTGGAGATATGCTGTACACATTTTAACTGTCTTTATGCACCTGTCTTTCAAATCTTAATTTTCTTATCAAGACATCCTGTCAATTGGACAGAAACTGAAATCTCTTTCATTTTCTTCAAACCTTTTACATTAAGATATAGTCTTTATAGTGTTTTTCAAAGAAAAATTTGGATTTTCTTGGGAGCATATATACATATTATATTATATTATATTATATTATATTATATTATATTATATTATATTATACAGTATGTAATTAACCTACTTTCAAAAACTATCATTGTCAATGTTGCCACTACATTCAGACACAGCACAATGTCAACCACAGACTTCAAGGACAGGCATGTACCTCTCTGATATGTAAATATACAATTGTCATATTTGAGTCACTTCATAGTTACATCCAGAGACATCCTTAACATCACTATGACTGCATTCCCACAGATTTAGATTGATATCATCCATCTGGATCGACCTAACTCCCTAGGGGTTCACGATAAATTGCTATCAGCCGAGCGTGCACAGAAGTTAATTACTCCCTTACAGCTTTCAGTAGGTGGGACAGACATTTAAGCCGGCTAAGCTAGCTAACAGTAATCTAGTGAGACTCCCCACGGGGATAGTTCGATCTAAAATTTGTGGGAATGCAGTCTATGGCATAAAGATATAATCGTGTCATGCGCCACTAAAGCTTGCTGCGAAAAACGATAGTTCACTGTCACATCTACTAGTATACTAGCCACATCATTGAGACAATCACATACTAGTATTATAAAGATATAACCATCACACCTAGAGAGACAAATGTCATAACTCATAACTCACTGTCACATTCAACAATATAACTGTAATATCCAACAGTTCATTGTTACATGCAACAATTCACTGTCACATGCAACAATTCAACTGGCACATCAGACAGTTTTTTGTCACATCCAACAATTCAATATGCCACATCAACACATCAATGTCACATCCAACAGGTCATTGTCATACTAGAAACACCAATATTACTAATAACATCAGTTATAAGCTTTTTATCCTTTTCTTCAAATTCTTCATGACACTGTACCCCAGCTGTAAGCATCATGACTCAGTTTCCATACAAAACAACATCTGATCAAAGAGAATTTTTGCCATACCTGCAATAATTTTCCTTTCATCCACTGCAGTGAGAGAAGTTGTATAGATCCCTCTGTTTTCCACGCTGATATCCGACCAGAAAAGGACTCCATCATCCACATCCACGGCCAGCCCAACGATACGGGTATGGTTTCTCTGAAGGCAATAAATTGTAAGATTCCATTAATTGTTAGATTCCATTGAAATTAATCAAATTATAAGCAGTCCTTGTCGACCTTTCTTTCAGTTTTACAAAAAATTTTGGGGGGCAAATTTGATTTATATTCTTGAGTGTAATTGTCACCCCTTGCCTAAGCAAGGCTCTCTGAACAGTTTTTGTGTCATTTAATTGAATTCTGTCAACTTGTCAAACAATGCATTTAAATGCGGCACTGCTTTTATTAAAAATTAATGATCTATAAGAACTCCTGACATGCATGACTTTTATTTTGCAGAATGAGCTAATAGATAGGGCAACTTTTTGACTAACAAAATGAATAATAACAATAAATCAATACTAAAGAGAAACTCCTAGAATTGGAATATTCACCCCCAGGCTGATTAAAAATAAGTTTCATACACCCACACTAATATCAGAGGAATCCACCTATGACTAGCAGCTTGCCAAGTTTATATAACACGTTATCTCCCCTAAAACTGAGTTATGTTTTTTATCACACAAATGAGAATCTGAGACCTTTCAAGCCCTAACTCAGCTACCTGCATGCTGGGTTAGCAAATTCTTGGTAATTTGACCGTCTTCCTGTCTGGACTTGCTGTACTCTGTGGCAGTGATGTTTGGTAATTTTGACAGGCATATGGTGCTGGTTACTCATACAGGCCTTATAAACGGATAAGGCATTTACTAACACTACCTACAGATCTTTTAGCACCAACACCCATATTAACCACCAAACCCATAAATAAACCAGCACTACCAGATTGGATATGCATTTGTGCTAGGTATCGCTTTGTTGGTGCTAAATAATCGTATGGTGTGTTGGTCAATTAGTGGGTTTGAAGAAATGCATGTAATTGGTTATATGTTATCTCAAGAGCTATGCTTTTATAAGACATACCATAATCTGAAAAAAAGTTTATTGTGAGGTTTTGAAATACACTGTTACAGTGTCCCCAGGGTTCATGTTAAAAGGTATTTTATTTTAGAAGATTAAAAAATTGGATGAATTTAGAAACAAAGACATAATCAGAATAAGGGAGATATTTGATATTTGTGGACAATAACCATGTTCTTAGAAATTTTAAAGAAAAGTGTTCACAATTATATAACACTCAATTATTTATTCCAATTAACCCAATGTTTAATTTTTATAATTATTAACTAATATTCTTCTCTTTCTCCCTCTCTGTCTTACATGTCTTGTTGTATTGTTGGCACTAAGCATTTTAGCATACAAACTTATAGACCTAAATAGTCTCAGGTTTAATGCCTTCTACCACTAGACTAGTTTCTTTTACCATATTTAAATTCTTATTTCTTATTATTGTCATCTTCTTTCTTTACTTTATTTATTATTATTATTATTATTATTTATTTATTTATTTTATCTATTTATTTTATTTATTTATTCATTTTTTTGTCAAGTGGCATTTAAGAACTTCAAGGTATATTCTTGGCAACATTTTGAAATCAACACTTTAAAGTTCCTGGACAGCTTTTGATGATCTTTTAAAACAAGAGTTCTACTAGAATGACACAGATTTTTGAATGTATGATGTATTCCTGTTGATGTAGGCCAAAGGAAACCAACAGCCCTTTGAAGTGATGTTGGTCTTGGCAGTGGTGAAAAGATGCAAATATTCAAACACAAAGCAGGGACTCCTTTTTCTTATCTAATTATGGGCTGGAACAAAAGTTTTCTATGATATTTACACAATTAAGCACATTTTGTGTACAAAAGTTTTAATTATTAAGATGCAATCATAAGTTATTATCAAAAATTATGGAATGAAGATCATTCTGTAATATTTTGATTAATAAATATTTTAAAAATATTTTAAAGGGCTTTAATATTTTAATTGGCAATGTTGACACATTGTAAGATGCATGTTCAAACCCATAGTCCATGAATGGGAGCTATTTTATCATTTATGATATTTAATAATTAGTGCATTATAAAGATACATTATGGTACGTACATAACCATAAGTTATTATGTTATCATGTAAAACCCAATAAACAATAAAAAGAACAGAATGCACAGTATTTCTTGTAAGAAGTATTTGGATACTAAATTAGATCTGTGTTGAGTTAATCAGTTTCATGAACAATGAATCAGGTGCATTCCACTCAATTCTGATTGGTTTCTAGCCCCCAAGGATGCAATTAACTTGGCTATCTGTCTGCTGGATTCTAATGAAGTCTTATCAATAGTAGAATCAACAAAACTGTTCCATGAAAAGTGACTCGATAAAACTAGTCACTGAAATTTCACTACTGAAAGATTATAGACTAACTCAAATTTAATGTTGAAAATTAAATACAAAACATGTTAAAAAGTCACAATATCTAGGATCATGATTTCGTAAGTTCTCCTACTGTAACATTAGATGATGATGATGATCAAACATAGATGATGCACTCTTTAAAAGTCAACAGATAATGTCACATTAAATGCTCTCAGTTATAATTCATGATTGAAGTTCTAATTTTTTATCATAAGTCTTAGTTACATGATTGTGATTGATTTCCTACCTCTCGAGATCACTTTATACTACATGTACATTTTTTAATGTCATTGATTTTGAAATTCAAAATGTGAAACAATATGTGGTAAGGGATACCAGGTGCTTGCTATAATCGTACTTATGGCCAAGGAGCATTAATTAGTGCTTCAATTGTCCTTATAAAGCAATCTGTCGATCTTTATGCATTTTTATGCAATAAGTCAATTTTTATGCAATCTGACTACATTCTGTCTATCACTTTTTCATTTGATGCTTACGGGTAATGGCCATTAACCCCCGATTCCCCAAGTGAAGATCTGTGACAAAGATTATTATAACCTGAACACTGTGACCTTAAAAGGAATATTACCAAGGTTAATGGCTCCTAGAATTTCAAAATGGTCATAGATTACCTGTTAACTTCATGGGATATGTCTTTAACAGATGGTTCAGTTCAAAATTAATAGGGCCACTAAAACTTCAGGTGAGTCTATTTCAAGTGAACTGGGTATTTTAACAGCCTTTAAAGTAGTAAGTGAATAAGTTTTGCGCCAGGTGTTTAACTGAACAAAGATAGTGCTGTAACAAGGGTACCAGGTGATTGTGATTAATAAGTTATTCATTATATAAACATATGTCTCTTTATTTCATTCTGAGGAAGGTAATAAAACAAATAATTATCATATTCAAGCAAGACTTCAAATTTGCTTTTTCAAATTCTTCATTTCTATTCAAACATGTACATACATATACCAATTGTATGTATTTACTTTGCAGATTAAGTGGTAAAACATTTGGTATCCAACACAATGTTAATACAGATTTTGACAGCGTTCTAATACTTTCCTTTCTTGGATAAAGTCAACTTTTTTTATTAATTAAAAAACATAATTTTCAAATGTGTTTCTTGATGTTTGGATTTCTGATGATTAAAAGCTGAGTAAAATTTATTGCTATCAATCTCTGTGGGGAATTCAGATGTCTGCTGGAATTTACATTTGTTCGCAAATAAATAATAAATATCAAATTTTCAGCAACAAAGTCACATTCAACCAATTTAATCCTTTTTGCTACAGATACTGTATATGACTGTTACCTGTTAGGCTATTACTTTATGCCTGTGTCTTCCCCAAAATACACTCTAAATGAATGTAAACACAAATAAATACACTGTCATAAAGCTACATGTAGAAGCACTTTGCAGTAATGCGATTATCTGGGTGATGTGTGAGCCATTATGTAAAGCACACTTAGTATGTGTAGCTATTAAAACAAATAACATCATTGTTATTACAGAAGGGTCAGGCTCACTATTTTAAATCCAAATTGCATGGTCTAACTTGAAGTTTGATTTTATACATAAAATTATATACATATACAACTAGAAGATGAAAAAAAATGTGAAATTGGTCAAATAACCAATTAGCCCTAATTTTTTTTTCCTGAATAGAACACATGCTCTTTATAACAACATACATTGCAGTAGGGTGTACAGCAATCACAGAGTGAAAACAAACCTGAGAATCAGGACCATCTGCTCGGGCAGATCTAGATCTGCTGCAATCAATGTACTAATGGCCATTATCTTGATGGATATGGTACATGAGGAGATATTCAGATTGAACTGAGCCAAAGTCAGATAAAGCTAATATGTAGTTGAGGTTAACGTCTTGCGATGGATGTGTCGGACACTCTTCCTGTTTAAAGTAAGAGCCTCGCAAATGGGGTGAATTTAGGTAGATAAGTCCTACGCATGTGGCTTCTACAGGGCTTTATTAGCAGAAGGATGGTTAGAGTAAGGATTTTCTCACAAAGGCATTTTATTATTTAGTATATATATTAAATGGGTGAAATGATTTCTGGTTTGATTATGAGAGATACTTTGCCTAGATGACTTTCATTCTCCTACCTTAAAAAAAAGAGATAAATAAATTAATAAGTTGTACAATTTATTACAAAAAAAAACTGCTAGCATGGTAAAAATAGATCTAATGTGGCCTTCCAAACCTCATCCTTCCAAAAAAGTTGATTTCAATATATCTTTGCTTTAATTACTAGAAAAAAACTAGTACCATGATAATATCTTTCCTGAAGGTTAATTTGTCAAGGTAATAATCCCAGCAAAATTCCAATCTTAGTAACATAGGTTTACAATTCTTTCACCTTTCTTAAATGGCAAACTTCCAATGACTTAATGAAGTACCTGATATTTGTAACATAAAACACCTGGTAAAGAATCAAATTTTTGTGTCTGCAGATAGTGGCTCAGATATTAAACCCATTATTTTGCACCTGGTTTCATATTTGAATGGGAGTCACTAAAGTCTGCAATGTTTTACTGGATAACATATAATCTGATAACTTTTAATCAATTTAAATTAAATTTATAAGATGTTCTGGTTTTTAGGAATTTCAAATTTACACTACACTGAACATGATGAGTTAATTATCATACTCAGTATTTCAACTTTTAAATTCCTAAAAAATAAGACTTAATAAATAATATGAATGGTAACCTACAAATATTTATCCATTAACCTTGAAATATTGTTATTTTCTTTCAATTCTTCTGTTGTGTCATCAAAGGTGCTTTTCCCAACATAATTATTATACCTGGGTTATACTTACTTCATTCAATAAGTGCATAGTAGTGCAAATGTTGGGAAAGTGTTTTCTGACTTAGCTATTTAGTAATGTTTTCTAAAATCACATTCAATGTCACCAAATATTGATCATCTTTACCTGTTCATACTTTGATACGCGTTCAGTTGACTGAATAGGTTTACAATGCAGTTATTGATTCAAGTAAATATAAGAACTAGAAAATTGTCAAAATACTTAATTAATATTGTTTCAGCTTGTAATATTGATATAAATACTAGCTGCGAACAACATCTTAATGCATCCAGATCATTGTGCTACAGTGACCACAAAATTTGCATACAATAACAATCTGATAAATGTTTGCCACTTACCTTAGTTAGTGGTAAAATGCCAAGTCTCGTGTAGCCTCCGGCTGTGGTAAAATTCAGGATATGACTTCCATTTGAAAAGTACACTGAACCTGATCAGTAAAATACAATCACGTGAATAAAAAATACATATTAACAAATAACATTTTTGATTATCAGTCTGAAACTTATTACTAGTAACACGTACAGTAACTGCCGATAAAAACTGGATAATTGATGTGAACAAAAAGAAAAAAGTGTTAACGGTGCTTTTGGCACCATAGACATGTATATATTATTCTTAATACACAAACCCCAAGTAATAGTTTTTTTGTTTTGTTTTTTTAAATCAGTACTACCAGTATTTAATGACTTTTAAATATTGTACCAGTGGGCAATATCTGATCACTGTATGGGTATAAAAGGGACTGACATGGGAACAAGAATTCATTTGGCAACAATATCTATATACATGACATATATAGTTACAACTAACGTTAGGTATCATGCACCCCCCCCCTCCCTGCACACGCGAGCACACATACACACACACGCCAACGCAAACGAAGACAAACGCACCAGCTCCCCCCCCCCCCCCCAATACACACAAACATATGACACAATATTCTCGTAGCTATCGATTAATCAAGCAAAGCACGTACCAGTACAGCAATTACCAGATAATGCAATCTTAATTTACACAATAGTACCAGACGACAGACAGATGGCACATGTGAAGACTACATCACACAGACTACAGACAAACCGAGCGTCCTTTACCTTCGTCTCCTGGCCGAGGTGATCCTCCATATCCAGACACACCTTCACATAGCAGAGACAGAATGGAAATAACCTTGAGCAAAACAGTCTTCATGATCCGCCTGGGGCATGGTATAGCGACACCATTGTCACGTCGACTTTTTTTCACACTGAAGCTTGAAAGATATTTCTTCGCGTTTCACCTTAGATGCAAGTGCTCAGTCAGCCTCGCGTGCTCTTTCCTATTGGGGTTTCCCAGCAATGCTCTGGTTGAGTTTATTTAACAAACGGGTGAGTGAAGACATATTTTTGATAAAAGTGTTCGTTGAAAATTTACTTTTGTTCTTTAAGTCAATAACAGTTTTATTTCAATAAAGTGAAACTAATTCCAATTTGAGTCTACACTGACACTTTTAACTAATACAAAAGTAAAATTACTTGTACGTGGAATTTAACCTGCCACCCCTTTTCTAGGTAATATCTTCTCAACCGCAATTTGATATTCAGTTTCTGTCTGTCAGCATGATGGATTTGTCTTCGGCTCAATTTCTCAAATTGCATTAGTTGCGACCTTGCGCATCACCACTGGCTGTCGATAGTCTCCACGTGCACTAAAACCTCGGTATTGATTTAAATATAAATAGTGTGAATTATCTCGAGAACGAGGCAACGGCGAACTATCGGAACACGGATGGACATCTATGTTTACGAGTAACTCTGCTGTGATGTAATAGAAAATGTAGCCGAGGGAAGAAATAGAATAGAGAATATATTAGATTGGCTTACGTTTTTATGCCAGGCACTTCACTTATTGGCGTGAAATCCGAAGAGGGCAGCTGGTTGCCGAATGGGGAAATCCTGGCGAGTGGTTGTCTGTGGGCAGACACTGACCGGGAAGACGGCTATCATAGAACAGCTAATATATGGCAATCACATTGTTGGAGCGGTAAGAATGACCCGTTAATAGGTGTGAAGGTGTGAAATCAAACACAATTTGCCTCGCAAGCAATTACGGTAGGCATTATGGATCTTAGGATAATACAATCTGAAACTGTACACTGACTGCACAATTATATACAAGGGCCTGAAAAAGGGGGGGGGGGTGACCACCTTCACTTCCTTTGTTTCAGTGATTTGAGCTTCAGCCTCCTTCAGTTACTCCTAATCAAAATCTCAGTGCTGGACAGTATGACTTTAAGCCCATTTGTGATTGACACTTCCCTGGCTCCAAATACGAAGAGATTTTTGCACTTTGAGTTTTATTGCCAGAATTATTATACTGGCCTTTCAATCTGTAACACTGTTAACAGGGAAGGGATTATTGGTGTTAGATAATTGCCTGCCAGAGACAGGTTTAGACCATCAGATCCAGAAAGATGGTCAGTTAGAATTATTCTATATATATATAAATTAATTGTTTTCCTTTTTTTTTTAATTTCTTTATTGAAATATGTCATTCGTAGATTTATATGAATTATATTGTATATTCCCAATTGTACTGGCATCCAAACTGACTTCCTGCTGTATGCATTACTTATTGTATTAATTATGGACCATAAGACTGTAAAATGTATTGATACAAGTAAATAAATGTGCCTTTGTACCATTCTTAAAATTTTTATAATAGCTAGTGGATTTTTTATAATCCAGATGTGTTATCGATGAAAATTGTATTTGATAATTAACAGATCAACATTTATTGCATTTATATAAAATTGATGTGGATTTTTTTTTCAGCCAACATTTAAGACCATAGAGGACATATATGTTGCCTATGTAGACACAGATAGAGGAGTGAAGGAGAAAGTGAGGCTCTATGATACTCCAGGCCTGGTAGGGATTTTTATAGATGTTCTACTTCGGGGATGCTTCTGGCATATAAAATTATATATTAATTAGCCCTGTGACTTGTATTCGTAAAATAAAAACTTCTGTTAACAATTATAGTTTATCATTTAATTTATGGATAATTATATATCCTAAATTTTTGTTCCTAAATTTGAATTGACGACCATTTCACTTTTTTTTCAGCAATATCATATCTCCATGAAATGTTTCATTTCTTATCTTAGTATGTTTAAAGGGAAGGAGCTGTTACATCTTACATTTATTTGTACAGGCACCTCATGTTAAAACTCAAATAGAATTTGTAGAATCAAATCACTCTGGCAGTAAGATTTACAGGAGAAAAAGTATGTTATAGAGTTGGGAGATACTGCTGTATAGTCCCTTAATGCTGTTAGTTTAATGTTGTTTCAGGACTCCTCTCAGGTTGATCTGCCAAGACATTATATCACAAATGCAGACGTAAGTTGAAAGTTTGGAAATTATCGGTGATATCCCAATTACTTGCTGGGGCTTAGCATAAATTCAATGATCATGGTGGACTAGCAAGTGCAGTTGGCATCTAATAAATATAAAGTACAGTGAAAATGTGTCTGTGATAAATGTTAAAATACAGAAAAAAGTATTTATACATCATTCTGTGAGGTTCATTAAACTGGACTGAGCAAAAGGGTGTTCATGCTCCAATTGCATTTTCTTTTTTAAAATTAAAATCTGTAAAATTTTGTAAATCATTTGTTATAAGTAAAAGTTAAGAATGTTCAGCTTTTGAAAGCATCACCTGTCACTGCCGTGACGTCACATGACCATTTAGTGATGATGCAGCAGGGAAAACAAATTTTCCCTTTTGACTTCCATTTTATTCAACCGTGTTATTTTCTTATAGGGTTTTGTCCTTGTGTATGATGTCAACAGCTTTGATTCGTTTAACTGCATCAACAAACTGAAGAAAGACATTGATAAGCACAAAGAGAAGAAAGAGGTTTCAAATTGTTAAAATTCTGCTGGCATTTTTTAAATAAGAAATTGGCATAATTGTGTAGGCTTTAGGTTGCTTACCATTGCAGCTTTTCCATAACATGCTTTGTGTAACTTTTTTGTGATAGTAGACTCAGAAGTGATTTAAATTATAGAAATAATAATATTGTTTAAATTACTAAAATAGATATAATTACTATTAACAGTGATTTGAAAGTGATATGTTTTAAACTGATGATATCTAGATTACTTTTTACAATAGCATGATGTTCAATAATCTTTTTAGCATGGTTTTGGCATAAAAATGATTATATAATCAGTGGTAAATATTATTGGACAATTTTTTCTACATTTTATCCTATTGGACAAGATATTATCTAACATTATCTATATTTTATGTAGGTGACAGTAATAGCCCTGGGCAACAAGATTGATGTGGACAGTGGACTGCGCCAAGTGGACCAACAAACTGCCCAAAAGTGGGCACAGAAGGAAAAGGGTAGGTTTTAGTAGAGGGATGTTTTGTGACTTGCCAAGAGGGACGTGTTCTAAACTGATATAAATAGAAAGAAGAGACCAAACTTTTCAAGTGCTGGCAATTGGAAATGATAATTCCAATTAGATATTAGAAGAAGGAGATAAGAAGGAATCAGGATAGAACAAGATCCATTATCATGATAATAGTCAGGCATATATTGCAAACAAGCACTGTGTGAATTATAAAATGTTTGTTCTTATAACTGCTTTATATTTACCCAATTCATGGCCTGCTAGATTATTTAATAATAATAATATACACAGTTGTCAAGGAGAATGCTAAAGGATAATACAAATAAATTAAAATTAAATTGTGCTCTGTTTTAGGATCTGTGATTGATAATAATTTTTTTGTTTTCCTAAATTTACATTATGCTATGGGCAGTCAACTTTGGATTGCTGAAACTTGTAGTTTTTAAATTACTGTGTTAGGTTAACACTTTCGTTTTATAATTTGTTGATTAGCATCCATGTATGCAACAGACTGCCAGCTCTATTTAACTAATCCATATGATTTAATATTTTTTAAGTGAAACTGTATGAAGTAACTGCTTCAAACAGAGTGTCTTTGACAGACGGATTTGTTTGGTTGACATCCAGGATGACCCAGCCTCCAGGTAAGGCTTGTCAGGTGTTTTGACACCCTGGCAGATCCATGGTTTTGTTAAGGAGTTAAGGAGTTTTTTTTTTTTTTTTTAAGCGGCTAAAATTTGAGGCTAAGATTCCACTTGGCTGTCATCTGGTGGTTTTACACAGGTATTATTATAATATATATATATATATATATATATATATATATATATATATATATATATATATATATAATTTATTTATTGACTGTTATATAATTTGCAGACATCAAGAAAGTGCCATCATTTTTATCTGAGAACAATAATTGCCTTCTTTTTGAGTTTTTGTCTCAGAGTAGAGTGACTATAGTTCACATTTTTTTTTCTTTCAGCCAAATCCAGTTTCCCCTTGGTAGGAAGAAAATCAAGATCCTCAGTGATTGTTGACAATTGATGCTTCACATTATTTTTCAATTTTCAATATTTTCTACAAGTTCCAAGAACTACCCCAAAGATGTATTGTTTACATGTTAATGCATAAGTACCATTATTTCTTTTAAAGGAAAGCAATTTATATATTTAAGTTATTTACAAGATGTCTAGAACATTATAGAATATAGACTGAGATAAAGGATAGATATTGTTGACAAGCACATCATTGATGTCATCATTGGTAATTACCTGCACAAATTTTGTGCCATGAATGCGTACATAGTATTACTTTTGATTATTTTACAGTGAAATAATTTCACATTTTGCTAATATTTTCCATAATTGCATCAGCGATTAACAACAAAATTCCATCTAGATCTCATTTCAGCACAAATTATTGGAACAGAGTATTTAAGAGCAGTTTTCATATTAATAAATCATGAGTAATAAAACAAATGAAACCACAGCTTTATTCCATATTCCCACATTTATTGTTAGAAAACCGTGTACATTTAAGCTCCTGTAGGTTACAGTAAGTTAAACTAGGTTTCATCACACTATACCTGGTCCCTAACCTTAAATACATGGAACTAGTCTTACATCTTAAAGATTGAAACTATATAAACACAGTCTTGGTGATGTTAAAATTAAGGGATGTGCTTCAGGGTGCACTAATTCAAATGTCCTGGATTACTAGCTTAGGTCTGTGACTTAGTTAATGAGCTATATAATTTTATACATCTCATTAAGTTGGTTCACAGAATTTAGGTAAATTTCCTCTTAGGCATTGTACAAAATGGTGCTTGTGTTCTTCTAGAACATACTTCAGAAACTTTAAGACAAAAATTTCTTGGAAATTTCGGCTATTTCCTTTAAACATCGAAGAATACTCAATCCAAAACCACTGACAAAATAAAGATTGGTAAACTGATTGTTTTTGGTCACTTTTCCAATGGTGATCACCAACTTACTAATTCAGGACATTTAAACTTCCCTGCTGTTGAGGACGTTTACTAGAAAATGTCGATCACATGCATATAATAATATACCAGTGCCTTTCTATGGTGGGGTAATGAAATATCTCATATACACTCATTGATACACATTAAATTTTGAAAAAATCAATTATACCAACATGTGCAGCTTTTGCTGCTAATGTAATACACACAAAACATCAAATCTGTGCTAATGGCACGCCTCTCAATCCAAAAAGCACCAAGTTTTAACACCGTCTAAATGTTAACTTTTATATGGAAATGTACCATATAAATTAACAAACTATTTCATGTTCAGATCTTGAATAGAATCATGTTATTGCGCCAAGACTTTCAAAGATTACTAGAAATAGCTCTACCAGCCTGTCTCTGCTGTTGACATCTGTGGCAGAAGGCAGAGATGTGTTAACAACAGAAGGTTGGATTTGAGTAATCTACGAAAGTCTTGGGGACGTTATTGCAGCATTTTATGACACTGGTCCCGAGTCCTCACTATGTTTCTAACACTAATACAATATTTAATTTTTTTTCCGAGGTTCCAGTCTGTGAATCTCAACTCCTTTAAGAACCTTTATAAAAATATATATACTGAAGTGTTCAGGAAAACCCTATGAGACAGTGACAAGTAGAATCCATGCCAAGCTATATATGCCAAGTATTGAAGTTTGAGGTAATCAGAAATGTGAAGCTGTTTTAGCCTCGACAGTTCTTTTATGAAAGTCTCAGTAGTGAATAGTAATTAAAAATTATTTTCTAGATTCTAATACGTGATCCCTTAAAATTTATGAGTGTGAGGGGATGTCTTAAACTTATATTCATTTAAAAAAACAATTGAGGATCAAGTGTATTGTTGTAACTTGTTTATATGAAGGATGTATAGCTGAAAACCAAAGTTATTTAAGCTCATAATGGGAGTATTGTATATATAAAATGGTGCTTCATTAATTCTTGGACTAACAACTAAAGGAAAAAAAAACAAAATCACATACAAAGTAAAAAGACATGCACAATAATAGTGTGACTCAAAGAAGAACAAAATAGAAAGGTTCAGCTGTAAATGGTGAACCTGAAAAGTGCCACCATTTGAAGTAAACACAATATAACATTATGAAACATAATTTAAAAAAAAACAATGTTAACTATGATCATCTATTGCTGCCTTATAAATACGTGAAAGCACAACAAAGTTCAAAGCTGGAAGATGCAGGCAGATACATATAAATTAAGACACAAGCTGTCAGATAAGCACAAAACTTGCAATTAAAATAGATATTAACCAGTATTATACTGTTTATCCTGCAAAAATCAAGAAAAGAGAGGTAAAAAAAAACAATTCCATGACAATGCATTCTGTGTCCTTCACAGTGATGATTGAGCATCAAACACAAAATAATAACCTATTAATTATATAAATTAATTATATAAAAAGACCGATCCATCACAGGTTGATTAGTCACCATTTATCACATCAAGCACAGCAACTAGATGTGGAAGCAACGTATGCAACAGGATGGACTTTTTCCCCATCGTTCCATCCCATGCCTATATTATGGCTAACACTGTCCCATAATAAAAACATAAAAATTAATGCATGATAAATGTGATTGAAACAAAGGCTGGCGCCATGATGATTATTTGATAATGCTCTTGGGAGTGCAATTTTAACGTTATCAGGCGATACAATCCTAAAATGCAAACTACAGTTCTTCTCCCATAGCTCGCTATTAAGACTTGGATCTCACAGGTAAGGGCCTCTGAGAAACCTCTTGACCATTTTCACAGCTGCAACATCACTGTCGATAATATGTACATGTATTCACACTGTTCTCCTCACTAAAATAATAGTGTAATTCTACATTCCTTGAGTGATTTAAAAGTTAGATGAAAGTCAGTGATTTCTGCATGTGATGTCACTGTGACATGGGTGTGATGTCATTTTTTTTTTTTTTGTTCGATTATGCTTGCATGTGCCTACATACACATTAAACAAAGGGTTAGGGTGAAAATATTTACACAATTATCACGAAATCTTCTATTCCTACTCTCTCCTCTATCTTTGCCATTCTCCTTGCCTTACAAGAAACATTGCCAGATATAACGAAGGTGATAATGCATTTCATAAAAAAAAACTTATCAATATGTACAACCTTTGGAATGTAAGAATGTCATAAAAAACAAAACAGTCATATTATTACTTAATATACACCAATATTCAGTGCATTATTCTCTAAAATATGTCCTCTGCCTTCTATACTGTGAACCGTAATCCTTTAATACACCATCTATTATAAATCTAAGAAGCAACATGAAAGTAATCTGAAAACATCTTAGCAGCAACTAACATAACATGCTGTGATCCCCTCTTTTTTTCTTAATTTTATTTTTCTTTTTATTAACTCCCCCATTTTAGTGATTGAATCTTTTCTAGTATGCTAAAATAAAGCAGGTACCTTCTGGCTTTTAACATATAATATGTTTGAACTGCATTCCATTAATAAATTAATGTGAAAATAGTTTTAAAACTATCACCTTGTTAACCAAACTGCGATCATATTAGTAAGTATAAAAAAGTGACAATCAAAATACCTAAACAAAAATAAAATATTTGTAACAAAATTATAGTCTAAACAGTGTCTTCTTAGTACTGTCTAAATTATATTACTCGCATGTAAATGATTCCTCGTTCTATCAAAAGCTGCCATACCTAACTGGTTCAAATACCTGTAACTGTCTAATTGTCATAACATTAATACTTAAAATATAACCCAATACTAACATGTTAACTGTACAAGCTTTAAATACTTGAAAGCAAGTATGTGAGTCAATTCAAACCTTTAAATAGCATAAGTCTTCATGAATTATAATTTAGATAAACTTCTTCAATTCAAAACTAATTCATTCCTTTCATGTAGAAAAGGTCTTTTGAAGTGAGGTAATAAGGTATAAGAAAAACTGTATTTTTTTTTTTTTTTAATTTTTGTTATCCCATGTCTGGTTTTACGATTAGTATTCTATTAAAAAACCTCAAATAATGAGCAAATGTTATTATATTAATTTCTTTTAAAGCATGTGCATCATATCTGTGCCTTGAAATGAGGGTCATGTGGCAGGGAAATTTCCATTAAAATTTGATTGAACCAATTGTTCTTTGATACAATTGTGTTTCAAAATTTCAAAGTATTCTGAGAATTTAGAAAAATTGGGATTGGGGATGCAATATGTGAATTCTTCTCAAATTCTTCAGCATTTTTTTCTCAAAAATATGAACTTCAAATGGAATCCTGCAATTAACCAACAAAACATACTGATTCAAATTTTTGTAAGTTTTTAGGATAACTTTCCATGACTAGATCATCTTAAACCAATGCAGAGGCAAGCATTTGGTGTCCGTATGTATGTATGTTTTATGTTATCCAAATTTCCACAATAGATGTCAGCACTATGGATGATTTCCTCTCCTCCATAACAGATGTCAGGAGCATTTAATCAGTTGTCTTGGATGAGGGTGCCAAAGGGGTAGTCCCACAGCTTGCTGCTGATCCCAAAACCTATAAAATAAGATGTGACTGAGGTGAGAGTCATGTCATTAGATTATGATTCCCATAGTTAGGCAGTCTTAATGTATAAAGCTGCCTGCTTAGATGGGCTGTACTTAGCTTAGACCCCATTCAGATACATACATCATTCTAGTTAAATCGGTCCAACTCTCCTGGGATTCTTACTAAATGCAATCAGTGATAATTAAGCAGAGCCCACATGACAGTTTATTGCCCTCTAGCTGCTCGAGGTGACGTCATTCATGATCAGCTAAACCAAATCCATTAAACGAGAGCAGAGTTGGACCGACCTAACCAGTATGATTTGTCTCTCTGAATGCTCCATTAGATTCATAATCTGGAAAATGTCATGTAAATCAGGCTTACACCCCCCCCCCCCCCCCCCACCCCCATGTTAATGATCATTTCTGAGATGCTGTATATACTATCTTTGGTGCTTATAAAGTTTTGTTGGAATTTTATATACTAGTAATAAAAAACTGGGCTCCAAAATTGTCATTTGACCAACATGGCATGTTCATTGTATAATAAATCCAATATGGTGGCATTGCTTCGCTTGCGTATATGCCACAAGGCAGATGATCAAAGGCTCGGGATCATTATTACAATAAATCAAGTGAGGCTATCAAAACAGATTTCTGTGAACATTAGACAATGTTTTCTATCCAGCGTATCTTGGGTCCAAGATCGAACTACAGTAAGGTTGACTTACAGTTTTACACTGACTGGAAATGGGCCTGAAAAGGCACAAGTCTGCACTGCAAGGCTGTGTTCAGAACAGAATTTATCATACTAGCAGAATCTATCTATCCATCTACCTCCATGGGGATTCTTACTAAGGCACAATGTAATTAGCTTAATTGTCTTGCATGCACCCTCGCACAGCAATGTGAACAACATCATGGACCACAAAGTTTATCCAAGTACTACAAGGTGGAATGTCAGACAATGACTGCCCCTTAGTGAGAATCCACGCTGGGATAGATTGCTCCTGCTACAGTATGATAACTTCTATTCTGAACACAGCCTAAAGTATGTTTACAGATGCCCATTTGAGCAAATAATCCAAGCACCTATTTTGAAATCAATTTCATAATGTTGTTGCTTTCTGATTGAAAAATACATAAATAAAACTGAAATTGCTAAATGGGTAAACAAGCAAATACATGTCATTGAATTGAATATTAAATAATCACCTTTTGCAATATCCTCAAAATGGTGCCTCACATGGTATCTCTTGAGGTTTCTGAAGTATTGCAAGCTAGGGGTGCCATGGTGTAGGTAGTAGTGGGTTAGATCATAGCCCATGTATCCCGAAATGGTCCCTAGAAATTCAACAGAGTAAGGAACATGTAATTGCTCTATGAATTTTGAAAAAAAATCATATAACATTTTTTTCGCTGGTAAAAATGTGTTGGGTTCATGGCAGAAGGTGAATTTTGATGAGTAAGTGTAACTGATGATAGTATTTTTATACAATACTAAACAACTGAGGAAAGAGTTTGAGATTTGTAAGAAGTCATCAAATGTTCTTTAGGATTAATTCACAAATTGTAACTGAAAATCAACTGTACTGTGCCATTAAGTAATTTGTACAGCAACTGCAGCACAAAAATGTAATCAGTGACATCTGAATGAACAAAGAGAACTACATGTATTCCTGTACCTATAGATAATATAAAGTAAGCTTCATTTAAGATTCTTTTCAGTAATCTGCAAGGGGTTTTTACTGGTTATGAAAAATCTACTTTTAAATGTAAGTGTGAAATGAGACAAAGACTTACTAGCAGAGAGTATATTAGAGTTCTTTTGGTATGTAAAACAAAAAGCCTAATATATCTCAAGTCTTTCCACTAGAAAGAACACAAGAAGTAAGATCAGTGTGTGTGTATGTGTGCATGCATGCATCCAAGTGCATGCATTCACCTCTGAATATCATGTCTGCATCTGCACACATGCAGTGTATATAAAAACATACCTGCCATATAGGCCTGTGCTACATGAATTGGAAATATGGCACAATATCCCAAATAGATTGTGAGTGCTAAAGGCAAAGCTGGGACAATAGGAAACACCAAGCGCTTCTTGTCAAATGGGCTCTGAAATCAAATTTTACCAATAAATATAGGGGGGAAGTTCAATAATCATATATATGGAGATAAAATATTTATTAGTCTGCAAAAGAATTGTAATGATGTTTCAGACGTGGGAAAAACTGCCTGTCCAACAGGTCATGACTACTTGAAATTCCAGAGGACCTGCAAAATTTTTGATATCGCATGTCCTCTGGACTGGCAAGGTGTTTAAGTGAAAATACAATACATTATAATAAATTACATGTAAACAAAGAATGATGAAAATCAAATACTTCATTAGGACCAGCACAGAATTGGGAGGACCTGCAGATTTCTTGCAGTGTAGGTCCTCCAGACCTTCAGCACCTCAAAAGATTCTCCCATGTCAGATGTACTTATTTGTACCCAATCTATTACTAATCAAACATTATCTTGCAAAAGAAATACTTTTCTTCCTTGTATTCAACAAATTATGGTAATGACAAACAATTTTATCATTTACCAATCTCTCGTCATCACACTGTTTATGCTGTTATCTCCATCGCACTGACACAAACACATCCACTTTTTGAAGACTTTTAAGATGCCTTCTTTTTCAACTCACAAAAGCTTGTTTTAAAATTTACCTTGTGGTGTTGTCCATGATACAAGAAGTGCATCGTAATGAGGAATTTGGAGTTTGCAGGGGGAGTCAAATGGAACAGCCATCGGTGCACCACATATTCTATAAATGTCCAGCTTAGTATGCCCAATGCAAAATATACTGGTAACATGACAACAGGGCTGATTCCTAAAAATAGAATGTGAGCAGACACTGAAAAAGCTGTGTCGATTATTTACCTGCATTACTTTAGAGATACCACCAGTAAAAAAATACCCTGTTACTGTTCTAAATAATTAATAATTGCATCAGTTAAATTCGAAAGTTGGTTTTTAAGAGACTCTTCAAGGCTGTTCACCTTTTCTTTCATCTGAAAACATATCACTAAATCCAAATTCTAATTCTTTTCACTCAGAGTATTTTCAGTAAGAGGGCTTTAATGCTGATGTATACGGTACAATTATTTTTACATTAGGCAAATTGTTTGAAAAAACGCTGTTACACTGCAAAAGCTAAAAATAAATACATTCTGTATTCTAAGCTTAGTAATAAAACTTGATAAAATATGTATCACACAGTCAGCAGATGGGCTACATGAACTCTGCTGTTTATGATACAGTGCTGTGTGCAGCACATGATGCCAATTCAATTCCCATCAGGGTTACTCCAGCATTATAAACAAAACTCCCAAGATAAAACTGTTGATACAGGATACAGACATATTTTACTTACCAAGCCAGTCTGGACCCGTTGACTGGCCATTTTGGTATGAGCTGTACAGTAAAAGCAATATCACAGGGACCCAAAAGGAAGGCACAGTCCACCAGTATGCATTACCGCACATCTCGCAGAAATTGGAGCGGAAGAGACGTATCTTTCTATCCACTGGCTTGTGTACCCAATCCATGTACTTATCACCCAGGGATCCCACCTGCCATAGTATTGGCTTGTTCCAGTCAATCAAGGTGTCCTGTAATGAAAAAACAGTGGAAATATTATAGCATGGGTGAAGACTGGGTCCCCATACCTAGATCGATCTAACCTGATCAGTCCATCTCCAAGGGGTTTCCCGCTAAATTGCTTTCAGCTTAAGCAGCTTAGATGTCTGGCACACCTACTGTAGCTGTTAAACATAATTAATTACCCCCTACCAGCTTCAGTAGGCTTGCCAGACATCCAAGAAGCTTCAGATGATTGCAATGTAGCGAGAATACAGGGCCCCTTGGAGATATATCAATCCACAGTTACTATGATAGGGTCTGGGAATGGTCCCATAGACAGCATGTAATTGGAAGGGGGTGGGAAACCAGTCTTCTGGTCAGTGTAAGCCTTACTCTGAATCAAAATTTGATCTAGGTTTTATACAATCAAAATAAAAAGGATCCATTTTTTCAGAAAAAAAACCCTCCTCTATGAAATTGCTTGCCAGCGGCCTTTACAATGTTTATAATACAAGACTGTGCAACAAGTGTACTAGTAGTTGTTTTGCAACATATTTATTGTGAAATATATTATGGATATATTATATGAAAGGTTGTTGTCCCTTTATTCCTTAAAAGAGTTTGATGAAAATGACATTCATATATAAAATTCATGATAACCACTGGCCCTGTAATTGACATATCAAGCTTATCTGAACAAGACACGTGGCATTAGTCTAAGATCAAAATATCACATGCTTGTTAGCATCAAGTCCACTCTTTCTGCATGTATTTCAGGGCGGTCTTACGGTCATTTATGGTATATTACTAGGTCAAAAAAGGTCAACATGGCATGCAGTCAACTTTTCACACTGTACCACTTTACCTGCACTGTATCATATTACTGTCATGCATGTTTTACGTGTACACACATATAACACCTGAGGAGCTAACCTTGACAGTCATAGATGGATTAATTTTCAGACAACCTGTATCATAGATTTGCAGGATATTTTTGTCATGGAAAGATGTCATGTTAGATGAAAAAACTTGTTATCTTTGAAATATGAAAATGTCCTTATTTTAGCAACATTTCTCCCTTGTAATGAGAAAGAGAGAGAGACTTTCAATTCAGTGTAATGCAATATTTTGCAATGTTTTCAAGAGAAAATTTGATAGCTGTCCCAACTTTTTTCCCTTTCTTCACACATCTGTAACCAATACAGCACAATAATTCTGCTTATTTTGAAAAAGGTGAAACACTAATGTGAAGCAACTGCTGCACAGATATGTTTTAGGGCTCATTCACAGTGATACTGTCATTCTACATGGATCGATCCAACTCTGCGAGGACTCTCCCAGAATGCGATCAGATTAATGTATAACCATGAGTAGAATACAGAAAAGCTTGACATGATTATACAAGTGTGTAGGAAACAAGAGGGCACACCTTTTAATCTGATTGCATTTAATGAGAGTCCCGGCAAAGTTGGATTGATCTACATGAAATGATAGTTTTATTGGAAATAAGCCTTTACACTGCAAATGTTCAGTTCATGGAGGTCAATCTGATACAGGTGCTGTGTTGAGAAGAAAATGATATCACTGAATTTTGGGCTGGGGCGGCAATATACATCTTAACTTATCAGGTGCAGGTGATTTTCTCAAAGGTTGAACACTTCTCACGAGAGTCACATAGCAGCTTTAAGTTGTTCTGGCAGTCTATGCACGCCTATGTACCGTCAGACCTATGATAACAAATCCCATCTTCAGACATACAATATTTCTTTTTTCCGCATGCTTTTAAGGGTATGAGAAATGCAAACTTTCTGGCATGGACCAAACCTGGTTTTCAGGTCTTCCCAAGCATCTTTTTCAAGTATTTCAGTTAAGAAAATTGCTTTGGGAAACAGAATTCATCAATTTTGATTTAGTTCAGTGTGTGATTCCTGTTTATGTCCTGATTTTAGTTAATGCATTTACTAGTGCTCAAATCAAAATTAAGGCTGCCAATTCTAAGCACCTACTCATACATTCTGCACAAATTTAAGTATTGATTTCCTTTTCTTCAGGTGTTATTCCATTATGGATAACATTATACAAGTATATTTAACAACAGCTCTTCTCATTGTTGAGTACAATTTCTAGTACTGTTAGTAATGTTCTTGGCAATAGATGTAAACTCTCCAATGCTATTCAAGGTAAAAGAGAAGGATGAAGCAGACATCCAATCTTAAGATATTCTTCCTCAGAATTTTAGTTGACTATTGTATTTTATCACAGATCAGGAGAAATCCATTTTCAGAAGGCGTCCAATGCCTGTAGTTTTCAATGCCTTTTGCATAGCAATGCACTCCCAGGAAGTAAGAAATATTCTTACTCTTGAAATTATTATTTATAATATAAATTATGTATGGAAGACAAATCCATCTAAAATCTAGTATTTATGTGGACTAAATTTTTTTTTTAATTTCAGATAATAGGGGAAGTCTTCTGAAAAAATAACAAAAAATTAGAATCTAAAATAGAACCAAGTGACTGACAACCATAATATACTAGCTAATATGCATCACATCTTTAACATTTGCTCCTTATCAGCAATAAAAAAAAATGAAATATGAAAACACACAAACTTAAGGCAAGAGTGCAGTGATGAAATTCAGTACATCACCATGTTCCAATTGTTATTTGGATAACTTGTAAAGATATAGGGCTCATTCCCGTTGGAGCTATCGGTCTACACAGATCTATCCATAGTGAGCCCATAGTGTTTAAAATGAATGAAATTGGGTTAAATGCCACTGGCTATTAAATAAAACCCCTTGGTATGTTATGCCAATACTAGTAACTTAAACCTTTTGATGCAAAATATTTTATTAAGTTTCTCACCTCAGTAATGTTTTCTTCAAAGTTGGGTTGAGGAACGTCAGTTTCTTCCGTTGACTTTTTCTCTTCGTGTGTTTGCCTTCTGTGGACTCCATCAGTGTGATTACGCTGTCCACCCTGAAGTCAGAATTTTCAAAATTTTAGCGACAATAACAAAGCTGGCAAGTTTTTCTTTGTTTTATTTAATTGCCTTATCTTATTTATTTTGCTGAGTAATGCTGCTTATTTCTGACAGATGACTACACAAAGTCAACTTTCAATATCAGTCTAAGTGCACATCACAAATGATGGGCCTGCAATAAATGTATCTGACATACGTGTAATGTACAGCATTTTGTTTGACAGTTATCTTAGAATGCAATAATATCTGCCAGAAACAATGAATTTGGCTGTCAGTCATGAGGCTTAATTTTAAGACTGAAAAAAATTGAGGCAGGTGCCCCAGGTTATCTCTGTGAAATGATGCGATTTAGCTGTCTGCTTTTCACAGTGTCCTTACGTAAGATCTAATTTTGTCTTGAAATTCTTTGTGACTTTGGCCCCAAGCCAGGCTAATTTTCCAAAATGACAGGCAAGATGGATGAAAAGTCTCTTTAAATTTCCAGTTCAATAGATCACAAAAAGGAAAAAAGTAGCAATGTATTCACATGTTCATCTATTTTTTTATTTCTTACTTACATGTAGGTATTACTATTTTCAAAGACTAATTTGTACACAATTTTTTCAGATAAAATGCCATTTTTGATCTTTTAAATTTTTTTTTCTGATTGGACCAATCAGTTGTCTAATGTGCAATGCCCCATTCAATAAACGTCACATGCAAAACAACATAATTTCAGGGTATTTATTTATCCGGACACTTTACTACATGTACTAATCTACATTTAAACAACGTATTCTAAACAGACTAAGAGTTAACTGATATGTAATGAAAGACATTCACTCTGATTTGATTCTCTGCATTATAGATAGTATTTTCATGCACTTAAAGTATTTGACCAGAGACAAATGGGAATGCATTTAGAAATAGCATTTTGTGTGTTTGGGGAAGTAGGTCATGCAAAAAATTTTCCTTCCAATGAAAGCAATTAAGTATGCCTGCACACTCTCCTTGGTCTATTACCCCTGTCTTCTACAAAGGGAATTATTATTAATACCACATTATGTATGTGGGGTCACAGCAAACAACACATAACCACAATATCTTTACCAGTACAGTCTTCCTGCTTCACTCAAATTACTTAAGATAATATCAAGTCATACCTGGGTGGTTGCTCTGCTTAAATTCCACACTTAATCTCAGTCCTGTACCTTTGGCTTGCAAGCTCGTTAAACAGTTTTCTTTTACTATAAAGGTCAAAGTATGGTTTCATAATGAAGGCTGGTAACAGGTACTTCTTTTTTTTTAATCAATAAGTTGTTAGTGTGTTACTAGTACTAGTTCACTTGGCTGATTGATCCGATGGGAATCATCTGAGATGGCATAAGAAACCAGAAAACATGTGAGAGTCTGTGTTAGTTGGGGTTAACTGTTCAACTATAAGGGTGTACCTCTATGCACCAGGAATTTCTCAGTGAAGTGATCGAGTGATATCCAAAACACAGTGAATCTCTCATTTTATACCGCACACTGTAATTTAACAGAACTTAAAAGAATACAACCAAGAGAAATTATTCATTGCTATACTTCCTCTCTCTCTCTCTCTCACTTGATGCCTGTTCTTTTAGAGCATTTGCTGCAATGAATCTCTATGGCCATGGCCATCAAGATCGACCCTTTGGTGTTTACTAGTACTCAAATCCACTAGCTGAGGCTCTTTATATATTAATTAACCTTCGTCTTCCTCTTTCTTTATCCCTTTATTTTGCCAGTAACTTTCTCATGATACTGTGCACACATGGTAATGCAGATAGCATGGGATTACCATTACAAGATTAATAAATACTTTACATTTTCAATGCAATTAATTATAAGTTGCTGATAAATAAATCATGCTCCAACAGGTATTTTCTTGAGTATTGGCACTTGCTGACAAGTTCCAATTTAGAGTAAAGGGTAGCGTACTTGTCTGCAGTTATAAAATAAAACTTCTCCCACAGGCAGGCCTGACATCTTTTTTTAACCCTGTTGAAGGCAAGTCACAAATATCAATAGCCCTGATAATGTCATACATACAGTAATCAATTACAACCATATTTGATTTTGCCTGACAAAGACAATATCTAGAATTATGATCTACTAGTAATCTAATCAAAAACCTACTAGATAATCATACTGACTGTATTTTTGACTGAGTATATAAAAACACCTACGCAGGCCTTAATTTTGTATACTATCCACCCATCAAATGCCCTGGATGGCTGCCACACCCAGGGCTGGGCATCTCTACAGACTATTTACCTAGGCACCTTTAATATGTACATCATAACCAGGCATCGTGTTATAGGAAGGGATTGATTATCATCTAAGATCTTAGCAAACATAGTTTCTTATCTATTCTCCCATCCCTCATGTGAGACAGTTTTGTACCCCATGGTCTGCAATTAATCAAAATTTGTAAAGTGAAAAGAAAAAAAGAAAATCCAAATGATAACACTCCACTTCATTCCACGATTAGTAATATTTTCTCTATCCATTCAGAGGGCATGCTTAGAAATAAAATCTGTATAACGTTAAACAGTGGATTTATCTGTACACAATGGGTTGCCAGTGTATCAGCATTTATTAAATGTTGCTTTACGTGCTCTCTGTCACCTAGGGTGCTATATTCTGTATGGTTCAAGCACGTACGATTTGTGACTTTCAGTAATGCTTCACCGGTCAAAAGATAGATCTGTTTCATAATATAGTCAGTCCCCAACTAACTAGTCGTAAAACCTGGTTTATTACCTGCTTTCCTTTCCAACAACTGTGTTATATTTCACTTTGTTCTTAGATATCATTTCATATTGCACAAAACCAGTTTTAAAAAGTGCTGGTAGAAGTTGTGCTTTCTCGTACAATGAAGCAATATAAATCCATTATAATCTACTAATAATGTGAAACGGATAAAAAAAAGCTCTAGATATGATTTCTAGCTGCAATTAATGTACAATGTAGCCACATTCATTTTCTGATTAATATTGAACCAAGTGTTAAATTACAACCAAACTGGGAGGGTAAATAATAAGATATGATATTTGGGTATTTAAGTTTGTTTCAGCACACAAAAAAAACAAACTCTCAATAACAATTTCTCACATTTAAGGACCGGAGGTTTCAGAGTTTACTGGCTAGGTGGGATACTAGTAATATAATCACTGGCAAAAAGCCAAAAAAACAAGTTCTTATTTCTCACGGTAAAACTCTTAAAAAACTGCACCTGACCGTTTTTTCTTCAGAGAGCACTTTCTTTGAAAAAATTACAAAAGAAAAAAGGTGCAGCAGAGTGGCAAAGAGGCCAACAGCACACAATGGTGTAAGGCTTGTCACAGTCTATGTCAGACGGAAATGATGAAGCTATAATGATTGCAGGGTGTAGCAACTATTGTAGCATGGGCAACCATTAAAAGAGAGCACACGCTGTTCAGCAGCCTCAGCACTGGTATGTCTGTTACTTAGTAAGTGATCTCTCCAATGCAATGTTTTTTTTTTTTTTTTTTTTTTTTTTTTTTTTTTTTTTTTTTTTTTTTTTTTTTTTTCCACAATTTTCATGGTATAAATGTGTGTAAATGCANTTTTTTTTTTTTTTTTTTTTTTTTTTTTTTTTTTTTTTTGTCAGCACACTTAGGGCTCTCCACATCATTTAAATAAAAAAATATAAATTTATTCATTCTTTAACCCAGAGACTTGTGTGCATTAAATTATTACTAATATCTTGTTTTGCAGTGACGGCCCAATGATGTGTTCCCCACTCCTCCCATCATCACCAGTTTAAATCTTGTGAAAAACTTTCCATAGTAAAAATTTCATAGACAGCACATATTCTCCTACTAAATCAATTTCATTTATTTATACTGTCACATCCCATTAACCTTTTCCCCAACTGATAACTGATGATCCAAGTTTAAGTCTTTTCAATCTGTTTCCAAATAAGAATAATTAATAAATATTTATTTAATTTATCTATGCACTGGAATTCATCTGTTCATTTGCCGGCATCTATCTATTAAATCATTTATTTATTCATCCCTTCCTTGAGTAGCTTCATATTGAAATTAAATAAATATTTCATGGGCAATGGTTCTGTTTCCACTGACAGTGATTGACTGCCCCTATATATATACATAATATATAGTACATGCACTAGTATGCAAAAGCTTCAACTTTATATAGATACATAATACACTGCATGTACATTTTATGTTTGTTCTGGGCAATAGCTATAATGTGTAGCAGCAATTTTGACACCAAAATGAAAATTTAGAAGTGCAAGTATTCAAAAATGCAGATTTAATAAATACCCTATCACGTACCAACAAATCCCTGATATCATTTCTGTGGTAATACAGTACAGAGGAACCCCAGCAGATTTGAACTTGTCGAAATGAAGGTAAGCAATCATATTATCAATTTCACATCTTTTCATTGAAACAAGCGCTACATACATTTTATGATTTTCACTCCCAATACAGCTATTTTGTCGAGTTGAGGACCGATATCTTGACTCAAATGATCATAACATGTGATTTAATATATGTGGGTGGGGCATACACTATATACTGTACCCAGTACACCTGTACATCAGCGCCTTCTTTATTTGACTACTAGTACTCATTTAAATATGATACAAACCAGTGAAAATGCACCTACCTTCTCTAGATCTCCAATGTAGTGGCTTTGTAGCAGACTGTATGCATATTTGGTGTGTTTGTGTCCAAAGTTATGGGACGATGGTTCTCTCATGATCTCTGTCACGTTCGACCCGGCGAATTCCGCCAACACCTCCTTGCCTCCTGGGTGTTTCTCGACGAATGTTGTGACATCGTACACTTTATTCTGGTTGATCACCCAAAGATCTTTAACGTGGTTGTGTTTCTTTACTTCCTCGAGAGAGAATGTCGGCATTTCTGAAGGCCTGTTTGCATCCGTAACCACCTGTGTTTTTACCTTGTTTTCTGTACGTTGTTGTGTAAGTTAGAATGAAATGTACAATCTCGATTCGAAGTCAGCCGACCACCGGAACGAATATTCTTATTCTTTCGCAAGCATGATTGAATTTATAATAATTTTATTTTTAAAAATATTTTTATTGGAATTTTATGATGAAATAAGCATTTTTCATGTATTCAATAATAAAATCAACTTTGAATATCTGATTTTGTTTACTCCATTCTGTGTTTTATATCAGTCCAAGTTCAAAACTTCCGGTACACATGCCCGCGTGCGGGTTTACGCAAATCGTAGCTGATTGAACACTACAGAATATGGCAAACCTAGGCGACAGAGAGCACGTAAAACAACATTTATTGAAGGCTGATATACTGGCAACTCATTATGCACAGATAAACCCACCGTTATCCAGGTTTTATTCGTAAGCATGCCCCCTAAAAAGACAGAAAAAATATTACCAATCGTGGTACTTTGATGAACATTGAGCATGGCCATGTAAATTATGAAAATGACATCGCATTTAGACAATAGTTTAAAATTAATCTGTTTCCTCTTATTTCCACTTCCATAGTGAGAGGATCCCCCTAAAAAGACAGAAAAATATTACCAATGGTGGTATGATGAACATTGAGCATAGCTATGTAAATTATGAAAATAAAATGGGTGTGACTGAAATGCGCAATACACTGCAATACAGCGCAACACAGCGCAATACACTTGATAACACAAGTCCAGTTGCAAGTAAACACAGGAAAGGGTAATCTCAAATAAAATAGGGTGATATAAAAGCAAAATATAGTACATAGTAATTAATATTGCTGATACAACTTGACAATTTTTTCATTGTTTGGTCAGCCGCCATGTTGGCGAGTAGCTCTTCTTGGCCAGTAATATATCCAAGAAGAGCCACTCGCCAACATGGCTGCCAACCGGACAATATAAAAGTCTTGCTGATTTGTTAAGTTATATCAACGATATTACTTACCTAGTAATATATAGGTTGTTTTTATATCACCCTACTTTGCTGGGAATGGTCATTTCTTTTGTGTAATTGCAACTGGATTTGATTTTTGAAGTGTATTGCACTGTGTTGCGCTGTATTGCGGTGTATTGCGCATTTCAGTCACACCGAAATGACATTGCATTTAGACATCAGTTTAAAATTAATCTGTTTCCTCTTATTTCCACTTCCATTGTGAGAGGATAAGGGTTACATTAATCTGAATCCCTATGTATATAGTGTCTTTGATAATGTTTACATCGTTTTTCAGTTTCTGGCCTGAATTTTTGCCTTCCAGATAAATAAATCGGCTTTTCATTTATCTATTTATTCATTTTATCATTTATAGTGAACTTTAATTTTTAGTTTTGTTTCCGCAAGATATACAGGCACATTATCGTTACAGGTGGCATAGCATGCAGCTTCAGGATTATTCACAATATATCAGTGCATCGCCTTCTCCTACCCAGTGTAAATACTGCAGGACAATATTCCTGCCTGAAAATAGCCACTACCGTATTGCACCCAAAGTGAAAATTACAAAGAAGATTCATAAACTGTCTCAGAGAGCACAAACTAATACTTTGGGGAAATACCAAAAGCATTTATTAAAGTGTTATCAAGAAAGAAAAAGCATTATGGTAAGATGTAATCTGAGGAGGTGAATAATTAATTTTTAATAAGCAGAAGGAAGAAAAAATGATCAAGTCTTAACTGGCCTTTTACTAGAATTGGTAGGTCATTTAGATACACAGGAATTTGTTAATTTGTCATGAATGGCATTTTTATGTATCATATTGCTATATTTTTTTCTTTTTCATGTGTCATTCCAGGTAATTTCTTGTTTAGTTTGTGGTAGAAAAACCAAAATATCATGTCCTCAGCGGTTAAAGCTGTCAATTAACAATGTATCTGTCGAAGACAATGTAGAGCAGAAATTGTCAAAGTCGGCTAAAAAGAAGCTGAAAATGAAGATGAAGAGAAAGAAAGAGATTGAAGCAAAACTCAATATGACGGAGGATTTTGTCACTAGGTATAAACTGGGATTTGTATTTTTCATCCTTGCTTTAATCCTTGGTGTATGTCATTATGAAAATAACGTTGAATTTTTAAAAATAGTTATCAAAATATGTCAGTAAAGGCTGTGAATTCATATGGAAAGTCTTTTTTCATTTGTAGCATTCTATGTTCCAGTGCTGTTTAGAGGAAGGAACTTTTATGGTTAATGATTGTTAATCTCTGCATAATCTCATTTATTTGAAAATGTATTTTTCAGCACTCCTAAATTATTAGATGTTGCCTCTAAGAAAAAGAAGAAACAAAAGGCTGCAAACCATTCAAGAGAAGCTGGTTTATTGGACAATCTACAACCAAAAGGACCTGTGCTAAAATTGTTCTCAGAAAAACTAATGAATACTTCAGATGATTCTTTTACCAAGTCACTGACAGAAGACGATTTTCAGGAGGTTTCGACAAATGACACGAGCAACTCAAATAGATCAGCTCTCACCTCTTTGGGATCTGTGGAAAAATCAAAGAAAAGTCATGGTTGGTCTGGTTCACCATGCATGAATCAAAAAACTGAATCCAGTATTAAGAAAAACATGTCAAATAAGTCTCTTGATTCTTCTCATTCCGGATCTTTCCTCTCACCAAGGGCTGTGACCATGCTCTCTCCACAGATAGGGCAAAGCAAGGGTAAAAACTCAAGTAAAAAGAAGAACAAGGGAAAAGCATTTCATTCCCAGCTTAACCGCATGTTGGCCAATGAAGAAAGAAAGAAATCTTCATCAAGCTCCTTGTCAGATTTCCTCTCAAGTATATGAAGTCTCGTAAATTGTACTTAACCTTGCCGTTTTTTATTGGTCATTTCAGAAAAGAAAAATGTGAGCATTTGAGTCAAGGTCATTGATGCACACTTTGAGTGTGACATTTGCATACTTCCGGCTTATCCCATTATTTTTGCCAATTCATACTTTAGTACCCTCCAATACGGAAAGGAATCAGCAGTTATAATAAGTGACATGAAACAGTTATGCAAATATTGCACAAATGTTTACTTCACTGATGTGTGTCAAATGCTCTCTTTTTTTTTTTTTTTTTTTTTTTTTTTTTGTGAAATGACCCCTACATTGTACCAGCACTGATAATAGAATGTGAGTGAAACTATTCCAACACTTGCGTAGTGTCAAATTGCATTGTTGATAGACTTGTAATTTTTAACAGACTTTTTTTTTTTAATTTTTGCGTCTTTTAATCACTCTCACTCTGCGAAGAAATTCATCACACATTAGTCAATGCTGTGACAACAGACACAAGGCCCAGTGCCAGGGGAAAAATAAATATACAGATTGCAGAAATTAGATAAAATGTTTTTTGGACATTTGTTAAGTAAAGCAAAACTGGTTGATGAGTTGTAAGTTTGGTACAACTGCTGAATTAATTTTAAAGAAAAAGCTGTCAGTTTTCAACACTGAAAACAGAAGGCTTGAATGAATTTTGATAGTTATTTATTTCCTTGGAATTAAAAATGGAAAAATGTCATGTAATAGTTGTTATTCTACCATAACATTGGAGATGCTCATGGACAATTGGTGAAAAATGTTACAGTACATGATGTATCCCAAGTACAGACTTAAATTACATGGAAAAGTTGGAATGTTCTTGCATAGTTTCATTTCAACATTTAATATAAAAACATTTTGAACACACTAAAATTCAGATCCAAGCCAAAACCAATAAAATCAAAGCCCTGAAATCCACCAGGTCTTTCATCAAGCCCCATTTTCATCACTTTCAAAATGTAACACCATTTTAGTAGTGTACAGTAGTATTTTGGCTTGGATGTGTATGACAATGTTTAACTTAGACAAACACCACTGTGACTGTGATTTATAAATGCATAATGAAATATCTTTTAAAATCTGTGAATCACTTTTCCTTTCATTTGGCAGGTCAGAGACCCAACTTACTGTACATAGCAGTTGTTTTTCTTTCATACATGTCACAAACCATTGTGTCTTATCACTGATATATCACACAGTAACATCATTTAGCCTACACCAACCCATCTGACAATAGACGATAAAGAGCAGATTGCTGACCTTAAAAATCTATTGATATGTTATCATTTAGTCATGCTGCTCTACATGTGAAAAATAGTGTGCCTCAATGTCTTTTTGAAAGATTATTATTATGTTTGTAAACACATTTCATAACCTTTAATCCTGCTTGTCTTCCCAAGTTTAGGGGTTTTTTTTATCTGTTCTTAAAATGTGGTACAAAATACTACCTTGATCATAATTAAAAAGGAATGAATGTTTCAACTGGGCTCTGACTTGGGGTGGATTGGTCAGAATCAGGATAAAGCTACCCGGTAGACTAATTTATTGTACCCTTTTGATAAACTAGTTTATCTCGGGCTCTGTTCTTGCAGAGGCACAAAAATCAGTAATATTTGTAACACAATGAATACTATAAAATTGAAAAAGATACTTGTGGCATTCTCCAAGCTATCTGGCATAATATAATTTGACAGTGGCAGTACAATTTGGTATTCTCATTCAATAAATGTCAACTATAGTTTTAGAAGATATTTGAACTCTCCCTCAGTTTTCATTATCCACATGCCTCTAGCTGCCATTTCCAATGAGTTGATAAGAGGAAGGTGAGGAGTTTTCAGTGTCCTCTGCAACTAGAGGTGATACAACATATTCAGGCTGATACCAGTTGACAATCTGAGTGTAATCTGACCTTTGAGAATATTGCACAATTAATTTGAAAACTAAATAAAAAGTACAGTCTCGCAGAAACTGCACCTTACACAACAATGTACTAGGTACATGTAAAATGAGAAAACTACCTAATCTTTGGTAATTTAATAATTTAACATACTTATAAATATTCATAACAACCTTTTCTTCTCTACAAAATATTTGTATCACAAAAGCCCCTTTTCACATCATACATAATGCATATCGGTATCGAAACACTTAGACTGGTCCTAAAATGTCATTAGGCTACGGGTTTTTTTTTCCCATTCACAAGTTCGCTTCCAACTGTTTGGACCAATTAAAATTGAAAGGTTATCTACATGGAGCTCCATTTGGGTAACTCTTCGGTAATAGCTGACATATCCAGTTGTCAATCTCCCGTAGTATTTGGATACAGATGGGTGATGGTGTGAAAAGGGGCATCCTTTAACCCATTAGCTTGTAAATGTATGTTTAAGGGTCAAACACCAGTTTTGCGTTATATTGCTATAGAATCGTGCATAAATGAAAACATTTTTTCTTAGGTAAGATATTTTTAATAAATTAACCTGATGGCACTGCATGACAACCTCTTTCATTTTATCTTATTTTAAAATAAAATACAATCCCCTTGTACTCAATTGCAACTTGTTTTTGTTTTGTAACTAGTTATTTCAAAATAAGCAAAAATCTAACAAAAAATTCAATAAACACAACTGCTCCAGTGTCATCAAGATAAATGTTGCATGCACAAAGTACATGTAAATGCCCAGAGTGAACAAATTTTAGCTCACACTCGCTTATAATTGTTTTTTAATGACTTGCTAAATTCCAATAAATTCAGTAGAACTATTTTACTAATTTTTACTTTAAAATGAATATATATCAATACAAGAATGAGGCGAGCTATGATTTCAAACAGTCAGGCTGGGATTGTGAACAGATTTTGAGGACCTCCTTCTGCATCCAACAAAAGGATCTGAAATAAATTAAAACTGAGGCAATCAAAACAAAGAGAGAAAAATCATTACATGACCAACATAATTTGCGGGATTATCTTTTGTATAAATCAAATATCCATATTGACTTGTATACAGTGAATCAATACACTTAAAAAAGCTTTCACAAATTATACAGATATTATTCTTGTATGAATCTGCATGCCATCTTTCCAATAATAAATGATTAAAAATAAAACATCTTTTACATTACCTTCTCTTAAGAAGTTTATTCTGATGGTCTCCCAGTGTTAGCTGCTACTGTTGGGGTCTGACAGGGAGAAGTACAGCAGTGCATACACAGCCCCAAGCATGGCTACAAACACTGCTAACATCAAGATGACATCCTACAGAGATGCAATTCAGAAATCATCATAATGGATAAGTACTTGCTAGTGGCTGAAAACAAGTTTTATGACTACAAACTTGTACAATTTGGTACAAATTGTATTAAACTTATGATACACGTAGCTCTATGAGAAAAAAATAATGCAGAGATAAAATGCATATCATGATCAAATTTTTCCACTTTTAAAAACGTGTGCAGCATAAAATTAAAATTTGTCTGTAGATTCACTTTGTAAGTTATTAGTAGCCTACTAGGCTTATGTAATGCATGATCCTACTGTACATTGCACAAGTATGTATCTGTTTTTCTATAGACTGGCTTGCCTTTATATTCAATCCAGATTTTCTGGCCTCTGCTGCCTTTTTTACTGCTTTCAATTCTTTCTTTGACTTCTTGTAATCTTGTTTACCTGAAATGGGAAAGTGAATGCAAATCCGTAACACTCCACAAAAAATAACACAAAGTAGATTATAATATGTTGCATGCATGTCTAAAATACATCTATTTGTAAAATACTGTGATACCCTAAGGGTGCATGCACAAAGAAAGTATAAATTATAGCAAGGAATTCAAATAGAACTCCATGGTTATAAGTAGATTGATTCAACTCTGCAAGGACTCTCTCTGGATGCAATCATATTAACGGATGACATTAAGTAGAATACAGAACATCAGATCGGTTATAGGAGTTTATATGAGCAAACAAGAGGAGGTATGTTGACCTGTTAATCTCAGTGAGTGCATTCAGCGTGAATCCCTGTTTAGGCCATGACGATCGAATATATCAACAGCCAGATTATTAAAAGTAAAATATTGCAATTTATGGAATGCCAGGATTTACATGTATATCTATTTGTGACAACCAGAGGTGCAGAAGTTGGTTGCCTACTTCATTTACCTACCAATCTGTTTCCTATAATTCTCTATTGGTAGCCCTTCTGAATCTTTTCTATTCCGTCCCATGTCATAAAGTTTTTCTGGAAGTTTGAATTTTTAAATTTGTAGTCTAAGCATTTAATGTTTTGGTCAATAGGGTATTTTTAGCATTTCACAACAAGGAAAAAACGCAGACCCACATACTACATGCAAAAACACTGACTGCATTCGTGCTTCTCTTTATTTTAGTCTATAATCTTTTTTAACCTTTTCCCGGTGTGGCGTGTACCGCTCGGAGCGTGAACCATCCGTTCTGCTCATGCGCACAAAGCGCAGGCAAATCTGAGAGATTTCTGGCGTGTACAGTCCGTTTCTATAGAGTCATCAATGCATTCTTAGCCTTTAATAAACATGCGCTGTAGAGAAAATACTGCAAATTCTAATGTAATCTTTAGCAGTATTCATATCTTATAGATGTTCACCTCTACTGCAATTTCCCTCAGGTGGCCATATCAACACACTAGCCTAGTAAAATCAATACTAAAATAGTAGCCAGCAGCTTAATAACCACGGCCCGTCCACGGTAGGTTCATCCAATGCGTCGAACTGTAATTTGACGCTGATTCTCTATCAGAATTATCAATTAACACATGAATTTTATCCCCATCATCTATAGTTAATGTTTAATGTGGTAGGAAATGAACTAGCCGAGCATAACAGTACAGGTGAATAACAACGGATCATTCACGGAACGGCTCATACACGCGTCTGCTGCGTGTACAATCTGTCAGGACGGATGGTTCACGCAGAACGGACCGTACACGTGACACCGGGTCTTTAAAATTAAAATACACATACACAACCCTGTAGAAGCATCCAAATGAAGTCCACCTGCTGCAGTACACGTAAAAAGTACTTACACTAGCAGCGTGCATCGGGCCGTGCAGAAATTTCTCAGTGTAACCCCAAACAGAATTTTCCACGGGACCTGAGAGTGTAGGCTTTCTATATGCCGAGGCACGCCAGTTTTCTCCAAATATATTATTGAAGTGCAGCCCAGGCTGACCGACGGCACAACAAACCGGACGTGACGTAGTGAGAAACTGAGCCACATATCAGACCACAGAATACGCCATCTCAGATAATAGGAAAATGCCATCTCAGGCCAAGGACATATTCCTGTCCGTCTAAATCAACCCACAAAATCAAATAACTAAATAGTATATCAGTAGATTAACTAAATAGTATATCAGTACATTTGTTATAAATTTTCAATTCATATTTTATGTTACAATCTGACTAAATTCATTAAAAGAGTCTCATTGCTCAATGCTTTTCATTATAGTTTTTTAAACTACTAATTAAATCAACAATGTACTTTAGTTTCCACCACTCTGCGGATAGATGGCGCAGCAACTTGAAGCCTAACGAGAATCTTCAAGGATCTCGGATCTATCATTATTGCGTAGGCTATACCTTGCACTTTGGTCCCAACTTATGCCGAAAGGAAGGGACTTTTTCATAAACTTTACCGCTGCATCCAAACAGGAATCCGTTTATCTCTTATTTATTTATTTATTTATTTATTCATTTATTTATTTATTTATTTAGTACGGTTGTTTGAATATAGTTTTGTTTTAATGACATGCTTTCATAATCGCCGAACTTTTATGCTGATAAGAATAACATATCAACAGCTTTAATGGATATATGCGGAACGATATAGGCCTACAAATCATTTAAGACTTTAAGATACTTATAGTAGGGGAGCCAAGGCTAAAAAAAGGGTGAAAAAAAATTTAATGATATAAAATTTTCGAATATATTGTCGGAGAGCCTGATATCTGGGGTTTATGAATCTGCTTATTGGACAAATGGGCTCAATNTGATCACAAAACGATACACAAAAGACTTTCAGATATTTACTTCAATGATTAAACATGACTTTCTAGGCAAAATCACGATAGCAGTTGTTTGTTTTACTAAGAAAGGTGTTAAAATAGCGTATTTGTTCAGCCATGTAACGAAAATCCCCAAAATTGACCGTAGGCTATTCTTTTAAGGGTACGTATTAAGTAATACAACAATGTCAGCACACAACGCATTTTTGTGAATAGGTTATTTATTGACATTCATTCTTAATGCACAAATATTTCTTTTATGACAATTTTTTTCATCCACGTTTTCAAAGCCATTACAATTTCTGTAATATATATCCTCTACTGTATAACTGCTGTCTCTTGTTATCCGGTTTAGGAATGTTACTTTATTAACTTGAATAAACCTGCTCTTTTTCTATTTGCATTGTCCGTTTTTTTTTTTGTTTTTTTTTTCAAAATAACAGATTTATTAAAAAATATTAAAAGAAACTTCATATCTGATGTTAAATAGATGTGCACACTGAAAGCTATAAGTCACCGTTCATATGGTTATTTACTCCCCTAGCAAAAAAAATGTCACCTCTACCGGAAATGTGTACATTGCTATAATAAATTATGGTTATTTGTTGTGCGTGCTTTTGGATCACAGTCGCTAAATATATAAACTGATTAAAAGGCACTCTCCATTAAAGATCAAACATGGATACTTCGCTTTTTCGCAATATATAATTTACTATTCATGTTGTTATATACTACACTACTAGACTAAGCTCACCCCTACCTCAATTGTGTATATAGGTACAATAAGATTTGGTGTTTTGTTGTGCGTGCTTATGGATCATAGTTGATAAATATATAAAGTAATAAAATTGGCACTGTCCATTACAGATCAAGTATAAACAATTTGCTTTTCCGTAAGGCATCATCTTTAGCGTAAAATATTTTTTTCTTCTAAAGTATACCTTGTAGATTAAGTTTATCTTATATTGTAGACCACCCGATCTCCATGTGGATCACATCAAGTACGTCTCAAAATCCTAAACTGGATCATGAAACACCAGTGGAAAAAAAAGATTTTGAAAAATACTCATCTGATTATTTCAGCATCTCGAATGTCAACAAGTGTGACAGGAATGGTAGGCATAGGAATTGAAGTCCGGGGTCCCATATAATTAGTATAGGTTAAGGTTAGTCGGAATACTGGGTGTAGTACATTGGACGAATGTCATTTCATGCTTGAGGCGCTTGAGGGATTTTACCCGAGTCGTAAATTAATTTTGTGACATTCATCTGGGGATAGTACAGGCTAGTTAAGGCTAGATTAGGCAAAAAAGTAAAAATATATTAGTCAATAAACAGTACTTAATCTTTCCTCTAAGACACTGCAACCGGGAAGCGGTTAAATATATCAATTACTTAAACAGTCGCAAAATTAAAATTTATAAGAAGAACTAATGGTATTTGCACCTAAGAACTTTTCAAATTGTCGAAAACAATGATAAGTTTATACTCTACAATCTAATGCATTGATGTGTGTTAACAGGCACTGGTGCGCTTATGCGCGTCTACGCTAATGATTAACGAATTCATTCATTTTGAATAGGATTTATAACCATTGAAAATCCTCTCACTGGCTCTAGGAAAAGACGTACTTTCAATATCAGCCAGGTCCTAACTCTGTATTTCAATGTGCAGTATCTGCTAAAATGTAAAAAAAATCACTGACCGATTGTTTTCACATCCAGGTCTTTGTCCTTCACTGTGTTCACCGACTGCAGTGCCTGCAGGCTCAACACAGGTTCCTGCCTCCGGTTCTTGGATTGTGGGCAGTTGAGCACCTGCTTTATGGGAATAAAAATTGCTTGTTAAAATAAAAACAAATAAACCGCTATAACTCGCAGAGCTTTGACAGTCTTAAATAAATTGGTGGCTTCAACTGTATGCAATGCTGTTAATGTCTTGTTCGTAAAATAGATGATAATTTACTTACATGCACCATTGGTTAAATCTGGTTCGTGCTTCTTTCCAGCATTTACCAGGTTACCTGATCAAAATAATCAAAAAAAAATTTTTTTTCAATTTATATCAGTATTTTACAGCGTCTTTGACTTAGTAACATTATATTCTATAACTATATTTCTAGACTGTCATATCAGCATTACAATACATTTAATGTCAATTATAGATAACGTCTGTTATTCACCTCAAGCAATATCACTATAAGTTTTGAGTTGTGAATAAAATGACTTTAAAAAAAGATAAGAACAGATAAAAATAAAACAAAGTGCAGAACAAAGATTAGAAAAAGAAAAGAAAAATGAATAGACTAGTAATAATGTAACACCGACATTCGACAGCTATGCTGTTCACAGTTATATTCAATTACGTACATATGATGCAGTCAGTATTGTGAAGTTCTATTTTGGGTCTCTCCTTTCGTAGAAATCGTATGATCTTCAGGTATTTTTCCTCTGGTGTCTCTCCTTTACGAGGGCCACTTTGGACGCTCTCGTAGCTTACCTGGGATAAACATTAGTATTCGCGGTTAAAAAAACAGTTTCAATAGATTAAATTAAATATCAGTGGACTGCGTTTTTTACACACATTGGTTTGGTTTGCCGAAGCAATTTTACAAGACACAGAAAGCAACTCAGAAAGTAGCTCAGAAAGCAAACAGATAAACGGGACCAAGAACATAACTTCCATGGTCGAATTCGAAGTAATTGCATCTTAATCCTTTCAACGTTTACTTCTTTAAATGGTGCTATTGGTATTACATATTATACAATGTTTTCAGAATAAGTTGCTATCCATTTCCTTCAAACACTGCAGCAGAGGTGACAATCTTGTATACCTATACCACAGTCCTAAAATGATGTTTAGGTATGAACAACAGCTCATATATGCCCTCTCCTGTCCACTATTCCTACCTCCATCCAAATGTGATTTTTGTCGCACGGGGTCCACAACCACTTTCGTTTCTCTGCGCAGTAGGCAAATCGCACACTCTGGCTACTTGTTGCCTTGGAAACTTTGGACAAAAACAAAAACAAAAAACTATAATACGTTAAGACATCTCTTCTTTTGTTCTGTTTAAGGATTTCCATCAATGAAGCATAAGAAAAGAAGTGTTCAACATCGATAGTGATTTTAATGCTTAAACATAACAAAAAGTAATAATTAGAAGAAGAAAAATAATAGAATTATGATAAGAAGAAAAGAAGGAAACGTGTACCGCTTTAGGTTTAGCCAACATGAGGCTGTGATGAAATAGTGTGTGTGGCGTATCTTCCGCCAGCAATTAGCACAACACAGTGTGTACTCACCCTCCTTAGCATAAAGCGATTGCTTCAAGTCGACGAACATCTGCAACCTCTCCTCATTTTGTATTTTGACTGTCAAAGAAACGTTCTTTCCTTTGGTGACTTCTGGGGTTAGGAACAACTTCCCCAGGCGCTTCTCCAGCTCTCCACTTCTTTTTGCCTGCAATAAATTTTCCATGGATTCCAACCCATCGACGTTCATGCTAAGAATGATGCTTCCCGGGTCCAGTTGGTGTTGGAAACTCTGCACACCCATATCAGCCATGGTTCCTTGGATTGCTTGTATGTTTTGATCGGGTGTGTTATTCAACTCTGTTTCTACCTCTCCGTCTGATACTTTAATGGACAGTTTCAAACGTTCTAAAAGAATACAACTAAAAGCATGATCAAACTGATATCAATTTCACGAAAGGAACGTATGGCGTTTTTGTTTAGAGTACATGTGTAGGCCTACGCCTGTGTCCTGACTTAAAATGGATGACATTAAAAATAAATTTACTTGCCTAAACGCATTGATCATGGTAATAATACTAAACTATGGGACCGGTGTGATGTACCACAGTCTTCCACTCCACCCCCAACCCCCTTTCTGATGATGAGGGGTCCAGGACCCGTTATTTCGAGACAGAAAATACGCTGGATTTGCAAACACGGTCCAACGAACTCCAGGATGGTAAGACTCTGTGTTGCTTGACAGCGATCAGTTTCCACGCGCTGATCCTTGCCCCATCCCCCTTTTACCCCA